TTCCTATCTGTTGTAATAGCATTGTAAATACACAGTGACTGATTTTTTTCCTAGTTTAGAAAATAGCAGGACTGTGCTTTGTGGTCCCAGCTATGCCACGCATTTGGGTGGGACTTTTTTTAAATGACAGTGTTGCTAGATTTTAGGAGTCTGAACGAGTTTGTGATCCTTTGATCACGTTTTTAAATTCAGCCACACTGCGTGTATGCACTTCTAGCGGTTGGCCACTAGTATCTGGAGACATCTCCTACAGGTTTGGCTAACCAATAAAATATCGCTTCCTCAGCCTTAGCTTTCTTTTAATACAAGCGTCTAGAAACTAAGCACCACACCATAGCAGCAATGGCTGATGTTCTGCCCTGAAACTGACCTATGGCCAAGTGAGCTAGCTGGCAAACTCGAGTACACTAGTGTATATCTTGCATGAATTCAAAGTTCACATGGGTGGTCTTTTAACAGCATGAATTTACGTTCTTTTATAATCATATCATGCCTATGGAGAAAAACTGCTCTTTAATTAGTAGCTCACATTTTTACCCAACTTATTTTTTTTATATATTAACTGCAAATTTTGGCAAAACTCATCTGAAACAAAGTCAATAAACTCTAAAAAACCAAAAACAAATTCAGGGGACACATTTTAAATGGACTATAGAAGTATACACTATACAAGGCAAGTGCGGCTTTATAAATCATGAATGTATCCATCTCACAGACTCAGAGAGAAATAGAAAGGGAGAGAATAGCCAGCTATCTCTGAGTGAAGAGAGTGTTTAAGAGCACTCCTTGTGACATACTGTCACACCATAACTCACTCTTTCCACAAGTCTGATCTATTGGGACCCAAGCTGACAGCCCCTACGGTCCGTAAACAGAGCAAGCTGCTGACTGTGCACTTCGGGGTAGCTCTGCTTAAAACAAAAGGGCTGTTGTCTCTGTCCAGCCCTCTGTTTGACTGCATGGAGGAGTCACCCTTTGGCCTGCTATGGACAAAACATTTTAAAGGAAGCAACCACTTCATATGTAACAGGGAGAGACTACTACACATGGACCACTTCCAACAGAAAAAAAGTGGTAGAGGTCTAGTCCATAAGTAGGATTGGGTGGTATAATGGCATACAGCAATATTTAAAAATGATGTCAGTATTTTAAAAAAAGGATGACGATATTTTAAAATAATGATGTGTAAATTTCTTTTCCATGTCTGAATGGCAAAATAAACACACTGCACCGATTTACACTTTAAAGTGGCTCACTGATTGGCAGTATTCACCAATGGGTGGCGCTGACAGAAAGAGACAGAAAGAGCCAGGAAAAACCTTAGAATAACTAAGCATTACAGTAGCTCAGCGACAGCTACACAACTACAAACACACACACCTCAGAACAAGCTTGATTTCGACCACCAGTCGCTCGACTTTGCGCTCTCAGATATTACTAGCTAATGGTACGTTAGTTGATCAGGCTGCAGATCCAAACCAAAGAACGTGATCAAGTTTACCCTTCTGTCCCTGCGTCGACTTCACTCCCTCAGATTTGAATCATTACCATTTAAACTTGTGTCGGTGCTTTAATTAGCCAGAATCAAACATGCTAGCCAAGCTAATGCTAACCAGCTCCTCTCCTCTAGTTAACAGAACTGTTTACATATTTTGCAATTTTTATAAAGATGGTTTGACATTTATTGAACCATTTCTTGGAAATGATGCACTTATTTGTTCACTTCTTTGGTGACCATGTGAGCAAACAAAATGTTTGATTGTTTTCAACTTTCAAAAAACACGAGACGGCAAAAAAGCGACATAAACGCTCTTACTTACAACGCCTCTGTGCTCTCCTGCCCCAGCAGTACCGTATACAGTGGTAATATCTGGAGACAGTTTGAGGGTATGAAATAAGTGGATACAGCCCAACTCTACCAAATGTAATTATTCTGGGATGAGGGATCACGGATGGGGCTAATCATAAATGCTAGCGTCGCCTTTTCCCCACTGCTGATGTAAATCAATGTCATAGTCTAGCGTACAGCACAGAGCAAGAATCACACACAAAAAAATATACATTCTACTGCTGTGGATTTAAAGCAGAACAGTAAACAGAAATTATAAGTTAGGGGTTACAGTAACCAATTCATTTCAGTCTTGGAAATGTACTTGTATTGCAGTGTGACCGTTCAATTATCATCCACTGCACATAAATCTCATTCCTCTACTCTTTAAGAGACTGATTTGCAGCATTGATCTTTTGTCTCCCCATTTAAGTTGATTTATGACTGCCTATGGTGTTCAATATAGGCACAGTCACATGCGCTCTGCAGTTTCTCCAGCCTGCATGCGGAGCAGTTGGAGCTGCCGCTACATGGCCCTGCTCTGAACCAAACCTGCCCCTCCTCCACAGCTCCCAGCCTCAGCCTGTGTGTGTGCAGAGGCCTGGCAGTGAAAAGAGCTGAAGCTCAGCAGTGGCAGCTTGAGAGAATGACTTCAGAGCAGGTCGCTATCAGTGTAACTCATCACACACACATGCGAGAGAGAGAGAGAGAGAGAGAGAGAGAGAGAGAGCATGAACACAAGTCAGCAAGAAAAAAAGAATGAGAGAGAGCAAGAGCTCAGGCTTTCATCTGTCTGTTCAGAGTCTACAGGAGGTCGAGGACTGTCTTAGTCTCTTAACAACATACCTAAATTTAATACTCGCATGATCTAACTAATTTAAGTAAATATAAAGCACATATATACACACACGTATTATAAATATATACATGCATACACACACACACACACACACACACACACACACACACACACACACACACATATGCTTTAACCTGAATCAGTGTAAGCTCAGTGCAGGAGCTTTAATACATACTGTTGGAGAGGCAGGATAATGCATGTTTCAGAGAAAGAGCTTAAATATCAAAGAACAAAGGTAATCCGCAGATGAATAACCATGGAGTGTCTACAGGAAATGCACAGACTAATCCAACATTTCTATAGCAGGTGCTCATCAATGCACATTTAGAATCAGTGTAGCGATATATGATAGGATATCTCCAGCTAGGACTATAGGGATGTGGGGAAACGTGGTCCTCTGTTACAGCACTTTGTGAGTGTGTATTTGGGGGGTTATTTGAATATTATCACTACTTAAGCTGGTGGGACTGTGCCTGCATGCACTAAACACTGGATGTGCGCATGAGCCGACAGCGCTCCTTTCTTCCCCTCTCGATATGTCATGGAGAACAAAAGTCATACTACATAACATATTGGAATTCCTTCCAATCAATTTTTGAAGGAACTTAAAGCCCCCAACTCGAGCTCACTCTCCAAACTAAAGATAGATAGTTTTTATTTCAAAACTGAGATGTAAAAAGAGCACAATATTCCAATCGAAAGTGCTGCCATTTTAATTTAGCCAACATGTCCCGAGTGGGAAATTGTCTACCTAATAACCTGGAACTTGCGAACTGCCTGCAGATGAGTTAGACCAATCAGAAGCAACTGAACATCTTTATAATGCATGCAGGACAACAAAACAATAACTAACTGACCCCCTGGCACATTACCGCTTAAGAAAAAGTGAAAAAGCCAGAAAAGTGGATATGCTGGTTTTCTTAGCCAAAACGAACAATGACAACAAAAAAAAAAAAACAAATGCAACTTCAACTACAGTCACAATACTGGTCCGAACAAATCCAAATGAGACATGTTCCCTACATCATTTACCCCTTATTAAACCATGTCAGTGCTCCTCTTCAGAGCATCCTCTAAGCCAGCAGCAGCAGCATGGCGAACCACTCTACACACAGCAAGCATATATCCCCCCGCCCCCAACCTTTATTTATGATGTATACTCCTTTAAAATAGACTCCACCACTATGTTTCATCACAGTCAAACCTCAGTACACTCAGTCAAGGTTCAGTGAACATTTTGTGAGACAGCCAGCGGTGAGGCTGGAAATCTTCTGCATCAGAACAAATCAGACAAATGGCATCAAAATGATAAAGTATGGGGATTAAATAGTAAATTACAAGCTCGCCCTCAGGCTTAGCTCATCCCTGTTTCAAACAAATGTTGAACAGCAGACTAAACATAAACAAAAAGCAGCAAAGCAGAACGTGGCCCACATGATCACGTATCCCAACTGGAATATGAGGATTTCTAGAGCCATTTTATAGGAACGCAGCACATGCATGATCAGATCGATTTGCCATGGCACCATGGCAAGGGTTTCCATGGAAACAGTCAGCCTCATTCCATGGATGTGCAGAGGGAGCACATGGCTGTGAAAAAATGGCAATGTAAATGGCATGCTTAACGTCACTGAACGTGATATGGAAGAATGCTAGCTGGGGAAGCAGTGGGAACCCTCATAAGTAATTCCTTTTTTCCCGCCACATTGCCCTTCCTCTGACCTTTTTTCTTTTCACCATGCTGAACATGGAGTAAAACAACTGAGAACTAAACTTGCCTATATTGAGCTGCACACTCAGGCCATCTCCATCATTTCTACACTTGGACTCTGAGAGTGAATCACCAGAAAGGAGAACAACTCTCACTGCTACCTACTGACTGGTTGAATTCAGAGGTTTATCAGAGCTTAGTCTTTCAACACATCTTGCAAGTTCTCTTAATACTGGCTGTAATGTTGCTTGACTGCTCTGACGTTATGCTTAGGGGAAAGTTATCTGCATTGCACTGGCCAGCAGAGGCAGAGCATCCGAACAGAGACAGTAACAAATCAAGCAGGGCTGAGTTTTAACACATTTCACCTGACTTTCATTGCACACAGACTGACGAGTTTTCTCAGAGATTTCTGGCCTTTAATGCTTGTGAGCTTTGTTAGGCTGTCTATGCGAAACAAGTCCCAAATCAGAGTTTTCCAACTTGCACACACAGAGGCTGAAAGGCACATGCACGGCGGAGGAGGGAGAGAGGGAAGAAGGGCGACCTCCCGGTCTGATCTCACATTTTAGGCGCTGAACCCTGAACCCCTGAAGACTTACCGGAGTGGTCAGCGGGTCCTCCGCCGTTGGTGAACAGGGCAGAGTACAGGTGAGGGTAGGTTTTCTCCAGTGCCACACACAGGTCCAGGAAATGGTCGCTCTCCTTGCTCATCAGCATCTTCAAAAGCTGGTCCACTTTCTCCGAGCTGGACGGGCAGTTCTGATCCAGCTCGAACCTCTCCCGCTCGCTGAGGGTCCCCGACTTGCTCAGCAGCTCGATCAGCTGGTCTGCATCCGTGATGGACTCCAGTAAGTTCTGGTGGCACTGGTGTAACAACTCTTTGTGCTTCGGCTCCATTGCAGTTCGCTGTAGTTCCGTAGCTAACTAGCTAGCTCCGCTTGCTACTACGTCGCTGGAGACACTGACCTCGACTCGATTCCGCTACAAGCCCGAGAACGAAGCTGGAAACTCCCTCCCTTATGGTCACTTGTACGATTTGAGCGACGCTGCCATGATATACGATGGCTTAACACAGCAGGTTTTCCTCACTAATAGCAAAAAGGCACACGAAGCCATATTTGTTGCCTGAGGCTGTTGACTGCACTAAACAGCGAAAGCTACATACATTTGCCCAGCTCACTTACGTCCAGCAACTTCTTCCATTTTTCCATACAATCCCGCGGAGACCGTATCTGTGCACGTTTACGGTTTCTTCTCGGCCATTTATTCTGCAACGTGCCGACTTAACTGCAACCAAAACTAACGTAACTCTGCTGCCGTTCCCCACTCAAACTGTAAGCTCCGCCATGTCTCGGCAGCTCAGTAGCTGCTGCCTGCTGTCAATCAACTCCCCTTACAATAGCCATGTAAGGTAAAAGTGGGCGGGACTAACGCTGACACACCTGATTTTTCTCAAAGGGCGTGTACCAATAATTGTTCGCTTCGGCATTGTTTTAGTCAACATTTCATAGTTGAGATGCGTTGTACTGTATTATGAAAGCGTTTGAATTGTAAAGAGTAACTCAGAGCACTTCAGAACAGCTTTTTACTGTGTATATTTTCATTATATAAAGTTACAGTGCGCGTGCTATGCGTATGTAGGCTACGTGTGTTTAATGCGGTCATTATACTGATGGCACTGGCAGTTTTAGAATTACAGCATTGGACTTTTAATATGTAAATATCACTCAAAAACCTCATTACAGGACATGAGTGTCTGAGAGAGGCCATAAAAATATGCTTTTTTTTAAAAAGTGTCATTCATTGTAACATACATGCTTTAAAGGGCTCATATCCTACATTTTCATGTGTTTTGTTTTTTCCTCCTGAGGTCCACTTATAACGTTTATGTGGGTTTACTGTGCCTTTAAGACCGATATATGTAAATGACTATATGAATTAAATGTTCTGATTGGCTGCCCTTTATTATGCCTCGTTTAAAAAGCAGTCCGGCCTGAAACACTCCTTGTAACTTTGATGTGAATGGACAGGACTAAACTGCTGGTGGATATTTGTAAATGTTGTTTTTTGTGACAACACAGAAACAATAAACTCAAAACAGACTGTTTTGGCGGGCTTGTTTACATATGTGGACTGTCTGGACTAGGGAGCAAATGATATTGTGGAACCAGCATAGAGTAAAACACAGAGGAGGCCATGATTCTGCTGCAAGTAGTGCTTGTTTATTGAAACACAAATACAAAGGCACACAGACAGCCAAACAGTGGCCAAACCCAAACACACAAACAACCTGCACTCCAGATACAATAAATAACACATAACACATCTTTTAATTGACTACATAAAAAACATGTCCCTTTTCCAGGGGGTGTGCGCCTCCTATGAGCCTCCTTGCATGGCCACGCCTCCCGAGCTTCTCATAGGCAGTATTGGGATGCTATGATATACAATACATAGTAATTTTACATCGCTCGCATAATACATAAACCTCTTTTATTTAAAAAATTATGTGGAAAAATCAGTTTTCCATGATGTGGGCCCTCTAAATTGATTGTATTCTAGTAAAGCACAGGTTTCAGAAGCGTGGTTAAAGGTGTCCAGTTGTGTTTTTGTCTCACCATTTCCAACCATGAGAAGTTGAAGCAATAGATAGCTATCTTAATCTACAGTGAAAATCATGTACAGTCACATGAGCTTTCAGTTTCATACGTCCATAGTCACAGACAGAGTTTATTTTCTCCTAGGAAGATATAGATAGGGACAGCAGTTCATAGAGTTCAGTTCATTTGGTTTAGTTTATTTTCATGTTCTGGAGAGAGATGATGGGTTTCACCACATTCTTGACCTCAGGCAGCTGAATTTTTTGTTTAAAGCACCTGCACTCTAGTGTACTGTACACTGCCAGTGATCTACATGGCATAGCCACAAACTACTAGTTCTGCAGATTTGAGTGACACTTATTTTCAGAGTACCAGCAGAGATCATAGCCATAGCAAAGGGTCATGCTGGGGGCACATTCTGCACCTGGTTTTAAATCTTGCCAATTTAAAGGGAAATGCCAATTATCTTAATGTCTGCATATTTAAATGTTTAATATGTAAAGTCTTTCAGAGTGGTTTGATGTGAAATGCTCTATTCTTTAGAAACTTGCAGAGTAAGAATTGCTCACACTGGTAGTGATAGGAACCAGAGGTCTAAAGAGTCTAAAGTCTCCCCCAACGTTATTTCTTGAAATGGTTAGTGTCCTGATGCCTAAGACATTGTTTTATTATAAATTAGAACATTTCTAGAACATTGTGGTTAAAATGTTTTTTTTTTAGTCCATTCAAGGTGGAGAGATACATGCAGGGGATTAAAAGGCATAACAGTCCTCCCAGATTTATCATTATTTAATTATTTTACCATTATCAACATAACATAGTTCACTGGTGGGTTTGGACACTAAATAAATTGGCTATATTTGTGTTGTACACATTGTGACCCCTGGTTCCTATCAGCATCACTGTAAAGCAGTTAGAGTCTGTAAGTTTCTATATAACAAATAATTTCGGATTCTGAATGACTTTGTTTACATCTCAACCATTTAATTGTGCAAAGAATTTACAAAAATCAGCAGAATTCTTTTTTAAGTCTTGCACTTAGTCCAGCCAAGTTCTCTCCTCAGTCTATCCAGACCACTAATGTAACTCTGAACCTGAGTGTTTGGGAAGGGTCATGATGACTAGTAGGTACACAGTATCTTATTGCTAAACTCTTGGAACTGGAAATAGTTGAGCCATGCAAAATAATGCACCACTGACAAACACAGCAACTACCACAGCCCTGCGCACTTTATTATATATTCTCTTATATCTTTCTTTCATGTATAATATGTCTAACATAATTTTGAGCCATATCAAAAGTGAATAGAATTTTAGGTGATTAAATATCACTCATTGCTTATGATCCAAGTAGTGATGTGCAGGTTTCAGACTAATATTAAAAGTCCCCTGTGGTTATTATTCCTAGCACGCCCAACATAAAAGTCATCATCAAATATGAATAGAATTTTGGGTGTCACCTATTGCTCTCTCAGTGTGAACTACTTAAATCACATGCTACATCACTTCAATCACAGTGTGGTTTGTATGTACAGTCACCATTCAGGAAACATTCATTTATTTCTTAGGCACCTAACCAGAGCACAGACACTTCCTTCTTCAGTGAGCTATAACTGGAACTCCTTCTGCAGGTGATTTATGCACTGTAGGTCATTACATAATCAAAGAAAAGCAGGTAAAAATGAAAACATAAACAGACATACATATTGTAAAACTACTAAAGATCGGGACTTGTAGCAAATATAATGCCAGGTACTGCAGCAATTGAGTCTTTCAAATAACAGTGTTATGATGAAGCGCCATTATATAAGCAATTCCTGACAGGGTCTTTAAAAGTTGTTTTGGAAAAAGCTATAGAAAATAGAAAATGTACATATTTTACTTCTATAAATTAAATAAACGGTTGCCATATATATCTTGTGGTCAGTTTGCATTTGAGAATTTCTTAGTATTTGGTATGTCACCCTTTTGCTTTGATGACAGTTTGCACTCAAGCTGGCGTGGACTGACATGGCGTTTGCGTGTTTGTGCAAAAGTCTCTGATGAGCAGGTCAAATCCACCTGAGAGTGTGAACATGTGCTTCAGTGGAAGAGATAAGACTGAAATCTGACCTTTCTGTACAAAGGCCTTTACATGGTCAATGTCACAAATTTGAATAGTGACATAGAAATAGTGCAGAATCTTGAATCTTCTTTATTTTACTTGAAATAACTTTTCTTTGTTTTAATGTTTAAAAATCTAAAAGTTTACATTGTTCATTTACATGTTTAAATGAAAAAAACACAGATTTAATGTGGTCTCAGACTTTTGGACCCCACTCTGTATAAAAATAATATTTCCTATAGTAAAAAGGTAAATAATTAAGGAATTAAGGATACCTACAGTTCATTACTACCACCCCACCAACCACCTTGACCCCCCTTTTTTCCACATTTTTACAAACTGACCATTGGTTTTACCCTCATTTTTACAAAGTGACCATAGATTCTACCTAAATTTTTACACCATTGATTCTACCCACATTCTGTACAGTTTGACTATTGGTTTTACCCACATTTTTACAAATTGATAATTGGTTTTGCCCACAAAATGTACATTCAGCTCTGATCTCATAAGCTACAGCACACTTCAGACAATCTTATCTTCTTGTAAATACTACTATAGTAAATAATACTAAAAATGATCTTCACAAAGCAGCATAAGGTGCCAAAACATATGGAAAAAAAATTGCAGCCCCCATGTAGAAGTGAAGCTGACACGTAAGCTGGGCAAGAAAATCATCACTTGAGAGTAAAACAAATCCTTCCTTCCTCAAATTTTATAAGACTACAAATTAGTTGTTTTAAAAGAGGATGCTCTGACTGTGGAAGTAGAAATAGAATGTTGTCAGTGAACAGTCACCATCGCATTTGGTTTCATGTCAGGCTATAATTAACAACCACCAATTACAGACCACATTACTGTACACACAGCATCAGAGTACAGTCATTGTGTGGGTGCAGCACAAGAGCTGTAGACTGCCTCACTCTGTATTCTGTGTAACGTCACATTTAGAGCACAGCAAAGCCCGATTTGACCAGCTTCTCCCGTAATATACGATACATATTCATAATCACAATCAAATGCTTCTCTAAAAAATCTATACCATCTCAATTGAAATAATTGCACTACATTTGCATATACGTTTTGATTTTTGTATCTTCCAAATCAACCAAACATTACAGAAATACTGTGAATACAGTGCAGAATATTCAGTCTAATGTAGCACCATGTTGAGGACAATATTTCAAAACCCAATCACAGGTCACGAGATTAAACAGAGGTGATTATTACATAAGAAACAATGTTTGATTTTCATTTTACCCACTGCATGGGTTCAATATATTTACTCATGGTACAAAGCCTCTGCTCAATTCCTGAAGAGGATTTTGTAAGCCTCTGAACAGCACTAATCCTAGATTCCCGACGCTTCTGCTTTAAATATTCATAGGGGAGAAATGCAGTTAATGAAATATATATTGGGTTCTTTAGGAAGCTGCAGACAAAAAAACCCCAGCATGTTCACTGATAACTTAAAACACTGCACTCCCTTTGTGCAGTTCTATCTGAGATGCAGCAGTGAGTGCTGTGCCATTTCCCCCCATTTATGGTCATTTGTTGCTGAAGCACACAATTGTGGTGTCCCCATTTGTCTTGTAGGAATACTGTAGCATTACAACAGAGTGACACTGCACTCTACTGGTAGCTTAGCAAAGTAGTTACTCAATGCTTCTCCTGAATGAGGGCAATGTGCACACTGCAGCATCAGAGTGATCAACTGAATACCTGTCATCCAGTCTGATCTTAATTCTCAGCTCGATTTGTAGTCTCACGTTATTAGTGTACAGTAATGCTATCCTGTGTGGAGTCTCTGCTGAGGCCTAGAGCAGAGGGCCACGTGCGAGTCACGGTTGAGTCAGAGGGGACTCATTATTTGAGGGACGTTTTGAGGTCGCACTCCACTGCACTGCGAAGGTAAACAGGGAATTTATTAGAGAAGTCTGTTCAAGATGAGCTCAGGTATTTGAACGTATTTTTAAATTAAAACATAGTAAGACGTATTTCCAAACATGCTTTATTTTTTTTCAGGTAATACATATTTTGTTTTGAAATGTACAGAGTACAAACAAATAAGCAAAGTCTCTTAGGTTACCTGATTGATTTTTACTATTATATTTTAGCAGGTGCTTGCCATAACGTTGAAAATATGTAAACAAAGTGAAGCAAAAACATCAAAAGGCCCAAATCCCACATTTTTCTTGTTTTATTTTTTCCTCTGAAGTCCACATTTGACACCTGTGTGGTTTTCTGTAACAAAAATGGTCATAATTTGTTCTTACATGACCATTTTCAACCTCCTATTTATCCCTTAGAATTAAACAGGCTGTTCTTGTTACTGTGCCTCTAAGACTGACATATGTAAATGAGCTCAATTCTGATTGGCCCTGTATTGTGCCTCATTCAAAAAGCACTCAGAGATGAAACCCTTCTTCATACTTCAATATGAATGGGCAGAGCTAAACTGCCATAGGCTGAATGGGCGGAGCTAAACTGCTTTAAGCATAAACAGGTAGATCTATGTAAAGGAGTTGAGTGAGTTCTTTTGACAACGCAGAAACAATGAATTTAAAATGCACTGTTTTTGCTGCATAGTAGTAAAAACAATTTAACAGTGTTTACATATTATTTCAAACTCATAACATAAAATAATTTTTTCTATGATATGGGCCGTTTGAGCAAGAAATGCATTATAACTTGCTTTTTATTAGCAACAGGCAGCTACAAGGGTGGTTTCTTTGTTGTTGCTGTAATACTCCACTAACTGTTTTCAGGTGGTCTTTTTCAGTGATCGCAAGGTTGGTGCTATTTCAGCTGTTTCTGATGGGGAATTCGTGAATTAACAAAATATTGGTGATATCTATTCTTAATTTGGTATTCTGCTGCTAATTCAACGTTTAAAAAACGTAAGGCATCATATAATTGCATAAGTAAATGAAGTTTCAGAAAAATATATGCCCAGTTTTCGATCCCAGTGCTTTTTAAAATCTTTAATCGTTTAGCTGCTTCTTAAGGCATTACATATTCAGCAAACAGGGCCCAGTTAGAGAAAAAAAATATATATATATTGGCTATTCCCTTTAAAATAAAGATTTGTATAAAAGACAGCATAAAAATTCATACATGGCTTTGGCAAAAATGTGCAGTTATACAGATTATGGCAACAGCATGCAAGTGAAGCAGACTGCAGAGAGAATAGAAATGATTTGTATAAACACAATATGGCACTTTATCCTCTTCACCGTGAGGAAAGCTGCACCATCTTAATCACTTCCACCACAAAGCTTCAACAGCAATTTCTTGTAATCCCCTGAAGTGTCTCCCTGCAAACCCAAAGAACATTAACAATTAAAATGCACTGCTCACTCACAGCTCAGCCAAATCATTCATTTTCAAATTAACTGAGTATCATGCTCATATGATAAATTAGTCAGGTTTAGAAAATGGCAACCATAATGAAGAAACCTTTGGCCATATACTGAAAGAGAATCAACGGTCACGTTCAGATTTTCTTTATATTGTGCACCATAAAACAAATGTTCTGTACATCATTTACTGTACGGTAATACCTCACATGAAAGCTCTTCACTGTGTCTCTTATGATGGTGTCGACAAAGAGAAAATTACATTACAGTTAATAAGGAGAAGGAGAGAGCAGGAGTATAAAAAGAGCTAGTTTACTCACAGAAATGTCTGTGTAGAGAGACTTCCCATACTTCTTTATGTATGCCTGGCGGAGGTCTAGCATGTCCACCTCAGAGCGAGACACCATAATACGGATCAGAGTGCGGTCTTTAGTTCCCAGTCCCTGCATAAACAAATTGAAAGATGTTATGATTCATGTTCCACTTAAATAAGACTCATCACCCTCAAATGTTAAAACTATGAATAATACTAACCCCAGTACCTATTTGATGTATTTTTTAAAAATTCGTCAATAAAACCATTTTTCTGTTTTCTGCTATAAACAGATCCTTTGACAAGGCTGCACCAATAGCCTGTTCTCATGTAACACAACTTACATAATTACAAAATAATTACACGGTCTAAATGTTGTAATTATTTATCCACTAAAGTTAAGTGAGCCTGTTTCATAACTGATGTTAAATTGTTAAACAGCCCTGGAGTGATAGATCTCACCTTCATGGCTTTGTAGAGTCTTTCAGCAAAGTAGGTTGACGTGTCCTTAATGCACTTCACTGCAGACAAGAAAGCATTTTTAGATTTGACACATGCAACTATTCCCCAATAAAAGCCCTAGTCAGGATACATTCAGAACTAAACACTATAAACAGTGACTGAAGTAAACTTAATAGACATGGACAGACAGACAGATCAATAGTTTATGAAACAGGTCAAAATCAAGTGAGAGTGTCACCTCAACCACTACACACCAAAACTGTCTGCTACAAGGAACACACAAACTGAAAACTCAACTCAAATATCTAAGTAAAGTCAACTCAAATATTTCAAAAAAAGACCCAAAATGCCCAGACTGGGGCTTTTTCTACATTCACACAAAAGAACAGGCAGGGTAGATGGAGAAATCGAAAGTGTAAAAGACATAAAGCAGTACAAATGTGACACAAACTTAACACTTAAAGCCACCATGCACTACACACACAGGAAGAGGGTAAGACAGCACAGCAATGTGTGACCATGTGTATGTTAATCATGATGTTGATTAAGTCAATGTATATGTAAATATTTTACCATATTACCCTGAGACCGGTCAGCAGAATAGAGGATATTTTGAGAAATACAGTGGTTAAAGCAAATTGTTTGCCTCAAAAAATATGAGATGATTTTTCCACAAAGAATACTTTATTATACAAAACTGAGCAGCATGGCATAAACATTTTATAACTTGATTTTGACGATGATATTCCATGTCATACTATGGACTATGCACAGTTTAAAATATGTTTAAATATCTACAGCAATGGGCAAGAATCTTAGGGACCTAAGCAAATTGCTTATAATGTTTATTTCAGCAGTAAATGTGTTCTCTGCTAGTAAAAACTCAATATAACATTTCATTAAATATGAATAAACATAAATACAGTAAAAAGCAACAAGACTACACACTACATTTCTTGTAGTCGATATCTTTTTAACTTGTCAGAACAACACGTTTGATTTCTCAGACTTCTCCTTGATGCCCCCAGTCATTGCATGGATTTGTTCAAACCCATCACTAGCACACCGGATTAATCTTAATGAAGTATTGATTAGCCAAGAGGTATTGGGTGATAACTGAAATCATGCTGGGTTTCCAACTCGGGAGTTTGGAAATGGTTTAGTAAAACATGAACATAAATAAAACCACTACATACTGTATTCATATTATTTGTATTTATTCTAATATTAATGTTATTAGGAAATAAACACTGCCCAGATAAACTGCTTTTTCAAACATAATATTCTTGGGTGCCTTTTGTACATCACTGTACTTAACAAAACAAGGGCTCTATAGAATATACATGATGTTAATACAGTCCTGCATGGTTACATTATACACCAATATCACAATATTAAAGCTATAATCATTGTATTATCACAGCATATTATTACATTGCCCAGCCTTTTTCATATTTATTTAAAAAACTTGCAATGAAAAAACACTTCAGTTCACAGCATCTAGTGGTCAGAAAAGCAGGGTGAGTGAATATAAGAACTTACCGACTGCTAGCATGCCACTCTCTAGATCCCCAGACATCTCCCTCTCAATGCTCTTCTCAATGTCTCTGCCACACATGTGCTGGTATTCATTGAACACTGTCCATACAAATACAGAATTAAAACACCAGTTATGCCTCAGACCTCATTCTGCCTCAGTGCTCTAATTATGACTCCAGATTAGAACAAAACTAGTTGTTACTAGTATGTACACAAGAATTTCCATCTCAGGACTAACCCCTTCATACAGAAAGAATAGAGGCTAATTCTGCTTTTTAATTTACATTTCTAATTAATGTCTCAATTCTGTCACTAAGCCTGTTTTGAAAAATGATCCCAATTATTAGTAAAGGAAAATGAAAGCCTTTCACAGATTTTTTGTCATGAACTACCATTGAGAGCAAACAAATAAATGCAGTTTATTTCTGTCCTTGTGATTGAACAAATGCTTTAGACATCAAAAATATAAAGGATTAAAGCTAGAGCGTTGGTTTAATAATTTAAAAATGTAAGCGTACATGCTGGTGTCTGCACCACTAGGGGGGCATACAACACTAAGCGTGAAGAGGTTACAACAATTAGGACGCCAATCATTGTAACCCACAATTAGCATTTTATCAGAGCAGTCAGCTGTTGACTGATGTGTCATATCATGCTATTATATAATTATTGTTTTTCCACAATGCCACAACTTTGAACAAAACAAGATATAAAAATGGCACAATATACAAGATCTAAGATAAAAAAAAAAACATAAACTTCACATTTTAGTCAAAAATATGACTACAAAACCACTGCTACCTCTTTACTGAAGATGTCCTTACACAGGACAATAAGCTAATAATTTCATCAGAAGGCCTTTTGGCAAAAGCACTACAGCTTGAATACCAGATATTGAAAACTGCAGGACCATACTGACCACACTCAGTAGGTCGTGACATGCCATTTTTGTTCCAGCTTAATACAACTTAATTAAATATAAGAAATCAATGAGGCTTGCTTTTGAAAGTCGCTGATTTTGTTTATGCTGTTATGAATAATCATAATCAACCTACTATGTCTATATGAAATGAAAATATGTTCCAAAAGACTTTTTAACAACTAATACAAGTCTTTTATGTGTTCAATTTCTAAATTCCCTTGCACACAATAAATGGTGCGAGATAGTAACTAACAATGATGCAAGTAGCAATAATTTTGCTACAATCCTTTTAAAGACACAACCAGGAGTATGTAATGGCCTTTTTCCAACTAAAATGTATGGTTCCATGGTGATTTTATTGTATTATCATGAATTCTCCAGGAAAATGCTTTTATAATTATTTATGGCATTGTTTGCAACCAAAGCACACATAAACAAAATCCTTAGAGGTTGTGAATCAGGTTTTCTGTGTCACTGTCCATTACTGTGTCCAGAATTCCAGGAGACAAACAGCCCAAGCTCTTCCTTGAACTTATTTTTTTAACAGAAAAAGGGTCAGGGCTGGATCTTTATTTAAAAATGTCCTGATTGTGGCTTTAAAAGCTTGGCTTGACAAAAAGAAACATACGTGTGAAAAAAAGAAACCAAACATTTCCATTGAAATAATGGTTTTGTCCCCCACCCACTAGGTCAATAACAAAACTGTGGTTTCTCTAATAATGGAAAAAAATAATGAATCACATTATCAAGTGCAGCATTTCTTAGACTAACCAGGGGTAATTTTCCCAAGAGCTTGAGAGTATAACAATTAAGTGAATAAAGAATATTTCTTTATGGTAGTGAAAATATAGTCATTACATTAAGTTTGATACTTGGAAAACTAAAACCAAAAGATATCAGTGCATCAGTGCATCCCTCAGTGCGTCCCTACATAAATACATAAAATACACTTCATCCAAAACGTTCTGTACAGGAAATCTATAAAAATATAAACAATTTTCTTTTATTGTCAGGTTGTAGCAAAAAAGAATCAATTACCTGCTCTAAGGTGAGCTTTGCTTCGAGCACACAGGATGGCGTTAAACTTGGACTCATCTGTGCCCAGTTTATTTTCTCCAGCCTGATAGAGAGCCTAAAGCAGAACACACTGCGTACATGTAGTTGCTATCTTCATAGCAAAGAAACACATGACAGTAGTAATAAAAAAGGATTAAAGTCATTACCTGAGCATCTTGTTTAGCTAATGATATATCCACAGTCTCTCTCTCATCACGATTTCCCTGTGAGATTAAAAAAAGTGTAAGAGTGTAATTTTTTTTGTTATATTCTGACCACAAATAAAATCAGAAGATTAAATGTTAGACTATTAATCATAAGGTTTAGGTGTTTTTTGTTAAATAATTTGTAGAAACTAACAGAGAGTATTGTGCTTAAGTCTATGTAAGAAAACTGCTGAAAGCTATTTATCTAGGAAAAAAGTGTATAAAATAAAACACATTAAAACAAATATTATTAAATATGAATACAATAAAAGAAACAAGAGTTTTTTTTTAAATATCTTACTGACACCTTGGGAGAGTAGAAAAGCACAGGTTCGGTTTCTCTGTGCACTCCAGGCATTGCTTGGATTTGTTCAAATCTATGTAATATTATGTAATTTGTAATATCTATCTAATATTAGTGTTTTCCTGAGCAAATAAAAGCTTGCTGCCCAGATAAATAGCTTTAAATACACATTTCTCAAGTGGCCCAAACCTTCTGTACAGTAATTTATGTTTAACTTGAAATCCAACTAGGATTTTTGTCAAATCAAAACATCTTCCTTAAATTACTTTTTAATGGGGTTATAAGAAAGTACTTGAACTTTTTGTTTCTGTAATGATGACTAATGACTGTAGTCTTGCAGCAGAGGTTTTGGAAGTGCATACTAAAGGGGTGTTCAGATGATGCCCTGCTCTTAAAGCTTCAAACATTTCAAACTCTCTCGAGCACATCTATGGAGGAACGCACACTCAAAGGCAATCCTCAAAACTGTACAGCACACACCATGTTTTAAACCACATGTTTAAGTTGAAAAACCACTCATTTATGTGCTGAGTGCTCATGAGAGAGCACCATACATCATCCACAGCTGACCAGTCCATATTAAGGATGCTTGTCGCTCATCCGGCAGTGCTTTTTCTGTGATTTGTTAGAGAAATATTATATTTGTTTTTTATTTACTACTATATATATGTCAGTTTTGACATGTTTATTGACCCTTTTTGCTCTTGGCATTCTCTGGTGTTTACCAACTTGTCAAATACGCTAACCCATTCCTAAGAAGCGTGTCCTGCTTTCTTTTAAGCCTGAGATGCGGCACGCCTCACTAACCCCCTAATTCCTTGTGTTATTATTCACAGGCAGACCCTCGGTATCCACTTACTGTACCTGAGCAAGAGAGACCAGCAGTCTGCGGAAGTGCCCTGAGGTGTCTCCAGTGATGGCCTCCTCCAGTGTCTTCTTGTACTCTGTAAAAAGATAATTCATGGATTCCTGCTCCAAATTCATATCATACAGTGAATGCCAGAGGCCTTGTATAATCTGTAATTGATGGGTGTGATAATGGCATGAGAACAAACCAGCTTTGTAGACTTGATTGATTTCTCTGATCTCTGCGTTGGAGCGAGAGGACAGGATCTCGATCAGGCAGGCTTCATCAGTCCCTGCTCCCTGCGCCAAATCATGTTAAATGAATAAACATTCCCCCTCACATATCCTGTCAATTGTGCTCCTAAAAGCTCAGTTTAACATTATACAGTTTAACAACCTCACCAGCTGGAGGTACACAGAAAATACAGCTTCACAATAACCTACTTAAAATGCAAATGCAAAATATTGTCTAAAAAATGAAACAAACTTTCTCACGCAACGTTTTTCAGAGACCTCCATTCCGACAGGACTGTACAAGTTAATGTCCTGTACTGTCCATTTATGCATGACTTATAATTCACTTGTGTCTCTAACAGCCTAAGAAAAGGCTAGAAATCACACAAAATCTTACTGTTGTCTTAATTCTAATTCTAAAACACATGTTCTAATGAAATAGAACCAATGAATGATTATACTGTGATATGAGAACATGTTTCAAATGTGAAATTATATACAAACCTTAATGGCTTCTCTAAGCTCAGATGCATCAAACTGAGCAGGAGTCTTCAACATGGCCAGCACCAGCTTCTCAAAGTTTCCAGAGAGCTCGGACTTTAAATCCTTAATCAAGTCCTGCAAAAATATGTTGTGTGAGAATGATCAAGAAGATCAAGGTCAAGAGAGTGTTCCAATGTGCTAAAACTTAAAATATTAAAATATTCAGGCCATGAGTGTGGGGGCAATTGACTGAGGTATTAATAAACTGCTAGAAGGATACCCATCTTCTCACAATCAAAGGTAATACTATGTTGTTCTTTAGCATTACCTTTCCATATGCAGTCTTATATGAAATCAGGAGTGGCACACGTTGCTTGTTGGAGCGACTTCCAAGTAGATTAATTATGGCCTGTTCATCAGTGCCTGTTGAAACACGTCAGTCTGAAAGTCAACTATCACATACATGCAGAAACTGAACTTCAAAGTTTAAAAACAAATATCCTGTGGAAATTTCACTTTCTCTCTAAAATTGCCACAAGAACCACCGTGTGAAGAAACCGATCTCAGTTGAACTGATCACACCACAAACTAACCTCAATCAACAGTGCACAGTACTGAGCAAAACTAGGCCACCACTACAACTGAGATATTTATGTTTTAACAGCTTGATAGTAAAGGAATATAGCATAAGATATTCACCAAAGCCTTTCATGGCCTTCCTAAGAACTTCTGCATCTTTCAATGGATCAGCTCCGGGAAAATCTGGAATGGTTCCTCTGAATCCACGCTAAATGGCAGTGGAGAAGACAATAAGGCAAGGCAATAAGGAATAATGCTGACACATCTACTCATGTTTATTCATACAATTCACTTGTATAATAAGGGTAAGGGTTAGAACTAACTGATTAATTTGAATACTCAAGTATTTGTTTGTTATGTTTGTATTTGTTTCTCTAATCAAATTTTTCTATCTAAATTAGTATTTGGAAGCTTCATCTTTCTCTGAAGCCACAGAAACTGTATCCTAAACTAATCGGAAAAGGCCTTTAAACAGAACAGTTATTGTTAAGATATGTTAAAAATACATAAATTACAGCTGGTTTAGTTTAGCTGGCATTGATGTCACCTCTCCTCGGCGTGCAACAAACTGCAACGAGAAGCCAAAAGATCAGACATATGGCACAAAGAAATCATGTGTGGGAGCATTTTAAATCATCAGACGAATAAAATAATGCTCATTGTAAATTTTGCGATAAGAGGCTGGTATACCATGAAGGCATGACAACTCCGAGGAATCATCTCAAATATGTAATTTTACCCTCTAGGCTGCAGACCGAGACTGGGGTAAAGATGTTCATAGTTTCAGCTCAGTACCGGGTCTAGGAGGACAGGCTGCACCAGTCGAGCGCAGTACCTGATAAACCGCTTCCAAGGTGGTCCTGCATGCGTTCAGTCAAGGCTGTAGCTCTAAAAGCTCTTCAATTCTCCGCTCCACTCTCTGTAACTTAGCTATGACTACGCTCAACACAGTCTGTGCGTCTCCCTCACTGCTTGTTTCCATTATAAAAAACAACAAAATGACCAAATAAATTAACTTGATAAGATTAACAAAAACAACTAATTAAAATGAACTAAAACTGTGATTGTAAACAATAAACTCTATACAATAAACAGAGGGAAATACATAAACAATGGTTAGGGCACTACAGTTCAGGACTCCTTGCCTAAAGTATGGGAAACAAATGAATGCTGGGATTGGCATTATAACAATATATTATCACTATCTTGACAAAATGTTGTATCTGCATAATGGTAACTTTTGACAATTGATAGAACTGAAGCATACAAGCTGTATTTGAAGAGAGGGCTGCAATCGTGGCATCTATAGAAATAAATAGCACGCAAGCAGCTGGGCATTAGCCTGACTATTGTTGCTGCCTAATGAATATATTTTAAATTGCAGTAAGAAAGAAACTTAAATATACTTAAAATATATTTAAATACTATGGTTAATTATGAAATGTAAATTATGAAATCTATTTTAAGGGTAATTTTGAGAACAAGTCTTATCAACAATATCAACAAGTATTCAAAGCTTATACAAAATGCTGTTCAGGCCAGCCCAAGTTAGAACAGTAAAACAGTGGAGAAAATCTCTTTAAGGGCTGATTAAAAAGTCTTATTGAGACAAGACACTTACATTTACAGAAGGAACCACAGGAGCACCTCCTCCATACCCTCCCCCGTATGCGGGCATAGATGGATTGGGAGAGGGTGTTTGTGGGTAGGCGGGCATGGATGGACTGGGTGCAGGGGCTTGTGGGTAGCCTGGCATGGATGGATTGGGTGCAGGGGCTTGTGGGAAGCCTGGCATTGGCTGGCCTGGAGCTGGGCCTCCTGGATAGCCTGCCCCTGGTACTTGAGGCATCCCTGGTCCTGGCTGAGAGTACAGGTCAAAGGGGTGTTGATAACTGTGTGGGTCACAGATTTCAAGCAGCCATTGATTGCAAACATGACAATTTTATTTGCCTATACCTGGCAATTGGTTTCAGGCAAGAACAAAGTATTTTGATGATGATAAAACATATAAAATGTATATAAAAATATATGAAAATACATGCCATGAGGTTAAGGGTTACATGACTAGATAAATTTTAGTAGTCTTTGCTACAGAATGTGTTGCTTTATTTTCTTTATTAAAAATAAAATTATTAAATTAGATTGATACCTTAAAACACTGTAAAGTCTTTTTTTTCATGTAAATGAAACTGATTTATTAGCAATGCATTTTTTGGTAGCTATACTTAAGACCAGTTTCAGTTGAACAAATTAATGGTGAAAGAGGGAATGAAAAAAAGCCCCTAAGATCATGAAGAAGCAGCTTTGAGAGGAGCCAAGACTCAAAAGAAGAACTCATCCTCCTCCAGGTGCCAGACAGTGAAATTAAGAAACAGGTTGTACAAGTTTACAGTGGGTAATGTTAAAAGTCTGACAAAAATACACTACTCACTGTGTTAGAAACATACAAAATATTAGATATGAATACACAGGATGGTAGCTCAAAGCTGGACAATCTTAAAATTCATTCTGTGTTAGTTTCTTCCTGTTTGCATGTTTTTGCCCTACCACAAAGTTGTGTTCAAGTTTAGGACTAAACAAACTTGGGCCAAATAATATGTCTATGGGGTACTGATTTACTGTCATATTTAAGTTTTACTCAATTATGTATTATTTATTAAAATTGTAAAATAATAATAATAATAATAATAATAATATAATGTTGTTAATGTTTGCCTTTTTAATAGATAAAAATATACCTCTTAAAAAAATACACCTCTCTCATTTATAAATGATGTCTGACCCACTAAAAGGTTAAAGGTAAAATATCAAAACAAAATGTCAGAAATAATTTGCCCAATGTTTAAAATTTTACAAAACATTTTATAATGCATGCCACAAAGTGCTGATGACAACCTAAAATTACAGCCACAAAACCAAAGATTTGTAAAGGAAGAAGATCTGATGCCGTTTAAATGCTGACTATATAGTCCTTGTTCACTGAAACATTCACCAGTACAGGCAATGAGACTTACCATCCCAGGCATGTTGCCTGGATTGAATCCAGGATTGGAAAAATTATCAAGACCAATTCCAGGCATTCCAGGTGCAACAGGAGCTCCCCAACCACCTACAAATACACAAAATAATAAACAGAGGGAAATACATAAACAATGGTTAGGGCACTACAGTTCAGGACTCCTTGCCCTATGTATAGGAAACAAATGAATGCTGGGATCGGCATTATAACAATATATCGTCACTATCTTGACAAAATGCTGTGTCTGCATAATGGTAACTTTGTAGGAAACAACTGAAAGTAAATATAAGTTAATTTAATGAGATTTTATAGGAGATTTCCAAACATTTAAAGCCATTTAAGCCATTAAAACAACAACAAGCAAAAAATATAAGTACACTTTTCACAATGATTACACTTAAACTAAAAGAATTAATAAATTTGTCCTGTTCTTAGCACTTGTTTTGTGGTTTGTTTTGAAACAATACACAGTGCAAAAAATGCTTTAGTTATTATGAAACTCTTACACTTCCATATACCTTTTATTATTACACATATCAGTGATCAATGTGTCAGTTATTAAAACTATTAGTACTTCAGAAGCAATATTACAACATCAAGTTAATTTATTAAATTAATGGCTGTATACCTGATGGCTGTACACTTTCAAACTGCTTTCCAAGTGGAAAAAATAAGAAAAACTAAGTGCTTTTAAGATGTTCTGTTTTTTAAGCTTTCATGGAAAAAGGCGATTCTTGAGCAGTAACTGTTTAAGCTTTATCATTGAAAAAATAACAATTAGTATGCAAAACATACTTACAGCCTAAGTTACTGTTGTCCATCACAGTCAATCACTTTACTCGATACCTGTCTTATAACTCCGTTTGTGTGACAATGGCCCCTGCTGCATTTATACTATGAAAACAGGCCAAGTTTGGTTTGCCTAGCCCCCTAACATGTACTTCAGAGAAACTTTGGAAATTTTGTCTTTGTGTAGACCTCATAACCACAACCGCACAATAAAAATAAATAAAGCTCTTGACTTTCTGGTACTGTGGTCCTCATTTCAGAGGAACAGTAAAGGGACTTAAATGGCATATATCTGAATTTACAATTAAATTGCAGAAAAAAATGTAATACCTAAAAAACTTCAAAACAAAATAAACATCACATATTTCAAAATAAACATTACATATTTCATCCAGTAATACTGTAAAAAAGCCAGAAAAAGGATATTTATACATTATAGCTGAAAACAACCTTATGTAATAAGGAGTAGTGTATGGTTTATACAGCGCTGGGACTGAATGCTTTCTAGGAGAAAAACTTGTTCATAGCCACTGGACACAAAATTGTGACACAGGCCAAAAGCTGACACACCCACACTAGGAAACTCTGACACACCAGGCAGAAATGTTAATGTTGCTTTCTAGCAGAAGTTGTTTGGAGACACAGAACAGCTTAATATAATCCACATGATCTCTAGCACACAGATCTACATTCACAGGGCTTTTCAGCAGCGCAACTCATGTCCGTAATGACAGAAAAGGGTCTGTCAGTCAGCTGCGCTTACCTAATAAACAGTCAGACATATAGTGACAGGAGTTTCTATTCATGCTGTGTTGTTTTCAATAGCACCGCCTAGGAACTCCATGTTTGGTTACTATGCCGACCAGACAGTATGCAGCGTCACGGTAAAAGTGACATACCTGTAGGAAGAGGAGGGTAGGCAGCAGGTTGGCCTGGGTAGGCTCCAGGCTGTGGAGGATAGGCCCCGGGCTGTGAAGGGTAAGCACCAGGTTGTGGAGGATACCCGCCTCCCTGAGGAGGGTATCCACCGGCCTGAGGAGGATAACCCCCTGATGAAGGAGGGTAAGTTCCTGGCTGGGGAGGGTATCCTCCTGCCTGTGGTGGATAACCCCCAGGCTGGGGAGGGTAACCACCAGGCTGCGGAGGATAGCCAGGATAGCTCATTGTTTACTCTACAATGAAAAAAGAGTGAGAGTTATCAGGACTACATGACATAAAATATATTGTGCTGACATACACAAACCCAATTCCAAAAAAGTTGGGACAGTAGGTAAAATGTACACAAAAACAGAAGGCAGTGATTTATAAATCTAATTTGACCTGTATTTGAACAAAAACAATACAATGACAAGACTTATAATGTTTTATCTCATTAACTGTTTAATTGTTTTTTAGAAATATGCTCATTCTGTCACAGACACCTGCAATGTTCCAAAAAAGCTGGGACAGGGGCAATTTAAAACTAGGAGCATTGTGAAATGTTCAAAATCATCTTAAGCAGGTGATAGAATCATGTCTGGGTATAAAAGAGGCGTCCAGGAAAGGCCTAGTCCTTTAAGAGTAAGTACGATCTGTGCTCACCACTTTGCCAAAAATGCATTAGCAAAAAAATGCAACAGTGCATAATAACATCAAATGATTCAGGGAATCTAGAGAGATCTCTGCGCATAAAGAAAAAAGGCTAAAAACCACAAATGAATGCCTGTGACCTTCGACCCCTCAGACGGCACTGCATTAAAAACCGGAATGTTTCTGTGATGGATATCATCACAGTGTCTCAGTAATACATTGGAAAAATATTTTTGAAAAAATATTCTTAAAAAAAAAAAAGCCTGTCACTGCAACAATCCGCAAATGCATGTTAAGAACTGTAGTATGCAAAGCATAAGTCATATGTCCATAGCATCCAGAAATGCTGCCGACTTCTCTGGGCTCGAGCTCATCTGAAATAGACTGATGCACAGTGGACACGTGTTCTGTGGTCTGAGAGGGTCAACCTTTCATGTTATTTATGGAAATAATAGATGTTGTGTTCTCTGGGCCACAGAAGAAAAGGACTTCCAGATTTTTAGCAGCTTAAAATTCAAAAGCCAGGGACTGTCATATTAATTTGGGGGGGGGGCCTTGTTAGAGTGTGGGTGTTAGACTGGCCTGCCTGCATTCCAGAGCTGTCTCCCATTGAATATGCATGTCTTATTAAGCTCAAAATCTGATAAAATCTGACAACAAAGGCTCTGTACTCTAGAATAGCAAAAAAATACGCTTTTAGAACGGAGTCAGTTTGTGTCTTCAGTCCCCAAACATTTATTAAAGCAGTGTTATGCAAGAACTGGTATTTTTTTGCTCCTAGGCTTCCCTTACAGTTGCAGAGTGTATTTCATTTTAACACCACTGTCGTAAATAAAAATCGTGGTTTGAGCCCCCTCATGGAGAGCTGTACACGTGCATTTGTTGACGAGCTGAAGGGTACAGAATCCGAATCCGACTCCCTTCACATGCACACGCGCCACACAGGCATATGGATGCTACAGATTACACTCACAATTTTGGTTGTTTCTATGTTTAAACAACTAAAATCTTGTTAGCCTAAAATGGGACTGAGGTCAGATGACTCTTGACATAACTATAAAACTCTGTGAGACAGGAATGACACATATAAGGCTACAGCTTATGTCACAATCTTTCATAAATAACTGGCAGGGATGTACATTCCCGTTAGCCATGAGACTGTCTTGCAAGCCTTTTATCTCTTTAGCTCTCACCAGCAAGTAAAAGATTTACTCTTGTCTAGTCTCTTGCTTGGCCACTCTCTCTTTTTCTCTTCCTCAGATAACATCTTCTTTGGTCGTTTGGCAGCCTCTGCTATGATGTCCATGCTGGGAATACCAAGTTCCTTCTCATAGCAGGGGCAGTCACGGGCTGGAGGTTAGGGAACTGGCCTTGAGACTAGAAGGTTGCCCGTTCCATCCCTTGAGCTGACAGGCATGATTGAAGTGCCCTTGAGTGAGGCACCTAACCCCCAACTGCTCCCCGGGTGCTGTGGATAGGGCTGCCCACTGCTCCGGGCAAGTGAGCTCACTGCCCCCTAGTGTGTGTGCATTCACTAGTGTGTATGTGGGTGTTTCACTGCACAGATGGGTTAAATGTGGAGGTGAATTTCCCCGTTGTGGGTAACTTCTACTTCTAGTTGAAGAGCCATGGCTGTTAATGTGTAATGTGGTTACGCAGTTCTCGTGAGAGGTCTTGTGCCCTCTCCTCCAAAGTTACATAGAGGTACAGCAGGCGTTCCCTATTATATGTCAAGAGCACCATCAAAATAATTTTGCAGTTTTTATTTTAAGGGTAAATTGTTACACAGTGTTGCTTTAAGTGCTGTTCAAAGGAAAGGTGATGTAACACAGTGGTAAATACTCCTGTCTCAACTTTTCTGTGAATGTGTTACAGGCATCAAATTTGGAATTAGTGTATATTTACGAAAAACAATAAAGTTCTTAGGGTAAAACATATAAAATACTAGGTTTTTTGTACAGCTTTCAATTTAATACAGGTCAAACAGAATTTACTAATCACTGCTTTCTATTTTTATTAGCATTCTACCAACTGTCCCAAATTTTTTGGAATTGGGTTTGTGCACTGACATATATTGTCACTGTCAGAATAAAACCTTTATCCATTTTTGTGTTGTATACTAAAGCCTGGGCACCGATGTTCAAATTACATTTTGTTGATTTTCTGTGTGAGAGTAAGTTAACACATCCTCTACAGAGAACATACTTCTGCACATTTTAATACACAATAACTGTTTATTTGCTCATTTTAACATACTGTGCAAAAGTTAGTCAAATTATACATATTTTGTTTTTTAAAATATGTTAAACTCAACAAAAAAGGAAATTATGCACTAAAATTTACATAAAAAATATCATATTGATGGTTATTCTAATTTGAAAAGGGAGTGTTCAAACTTTTACATGCAACTGATATATAAAATACAAATTTATTTGGTGGATTGAATATAATCCTTAGCATTTGGCATTTGATACATGATAACACTGATAATTAATAAAGAACAGTGTTATGATGAAGAAGAAGAGTGCTGACAACAGCAGTACAAACAGTGGAAGAAACAAGGATTAGCTTCAAGAGCCACAGTACATTTTCTGATCTTTGGGTTGATTCACTATTTCCTATACTGCCATTAAGAATGCACTCTGAGAATGAAAAGAGATATCTACAAGAACTGAAAACACAATGATGCTCGTGCATTTGACTGAAGCTTTCCATATCATATAACCCCAATTATTACTTCTATGATGCCAGTTATTTTATTGCAAGTGTTTTATTGCAAAATACAAAGAAATTAATTTAAAAGTCATTTAAAGATTATCCAGATGAAAACTATGGTTTACTGAGGTCCTACAGACGTTCCCCACTGATTACAGCTCCACTTTGAGATGATCTACATCCCCCACCCACACCACAGTGTAGTAACCTACAGCCACTGGGAAACAGGTTTCACTGAACAGCAGCCCATAAATCCACTGGTAGAGGATAAGAGCACACTCCCACAAGCTTGTCCATCTCTCCTCAAAATGTTCAACGCCTGCTACATCAGATAGAAAACATTATAACATGTTCAGTCTCCAGTCTGGTCTTTCTTTTAAACCGCAAAAAAGAAACAGGACCTGATATACGCTAACACTTTGCCAACCATCTAGCCCCAGTGCTGCTACAAATCTACCCAAAAAGTGTTACTGTCAGGGCATATAACGACATTCATAGTTATTGTACTAAATTACGTCACCTCACAGCGCTCATAGTTTTGATGGTGACACCACTGATGTGTTGTGTGTGCTCCAACTTATCAAACCTCAAAAAATATTGTAACATGTACTACATATTGTGAAATGTCTTAAAGCATCATGGTGGTGTACTTTGCCATACTGCCCACTCTTAATTACCATAATGAAATGTATGACTTTGCACCTTACACACAAAGCTCATAAGAACTAGAGAGTCTCACCATGTGAGACTGCAGTTGCTTTGTTTGTTTATCGGTTATTTGAAATTCTCAAATTTGAAGTCTGAGAATTTATAATGTACAGTGTAATATGTTGTTCAGGTTACTTCAGTAAGGTAAAATGTTCTGAACATCACTGCTTTGTAGTAAATGTATCACCTATAGAACTATACTTAGTATAGGAATAAAGCTAGTTTAGTAGATACCATACTTTATTTTTTACCAAATGTGTAACGAGTCACATTAAACAAGCACACTATAATGCACATTGCAAAATATTATGCACAGTCTATGCAACATGCTATTATTAAGTTATGCCATTTTAGGTTTTACTTAGCTACTGCTCTTACCCACAACAACACAAGCGCATCAGAAAACAGCCCAGAAGAAACTCACTCCATGACAGCTTCTGGCTGCTTTGCATTTTGTAGCCACAGAGACCAGAACACATGGATTTGAATAGAGAAGCAGATCCAAGCTGTATTCTAATCAGTGGATTCCTTCTATCACTATATATGGCATGCTGACAGCCATAAACCTATACTGTCAAGCAGAAGGTGAGCAAACATTATGACCTGCTGAGAAGGTGAACTGTGTACACGGAGAGAACAAAGCCACCACACCTGAACACCAGTTTCCAAATATGAAATATTAGCTCACTATTTACTGTGCTTTTAGTCAATTCACAATGGTCCTCGCAATTTTGCCATCTAAAATGGATAAAGACTAAATGACTTCTATAGTGTTGTATAATACTTCTACAATCATCTATAATAGTATTTTTTTGTCTCTGTGTAATATTGCTTTAGTACTATCTTATAGCAGTCTGTAATACTTGTGTAGTATCATGTTAGTAAACTATAGTAATTATCTCAGTTTACTATAACAGGAATCCGGTACAGCGCTCTGTAGTATTACTAACGGCCTTTTTATAAGAGATAAACAGTAATAAAATCAATAAGCCACACCAGCGAGACAGGAAGCCAAAGAAAGACGAATGGTTTTCTATAAGGAGCACTGTTGTAGTGGGCAGGCTGTGCGGAACAGCCATCTGAAGGCCATATTTAATGAAGGCCGTGACAGAGTGGAAAACGCCCACGTAACCTGAAACATTAATGCATTACCCAAGGTAATAATATGGCTACAGGCCTTAACCACCGTACAGGGAACAGGAGATTTGCGTACAGTTTACAATAGCGGGAAACCGAGCTAGACGTCCACTGTAACCCAACTACTGTTCCAAATAAGTCAGTGTCTCACACGGAGCTCAGCCCACAGCGCCTTCGTAAAGGCGAAAACAGGGAGGGGGGCACAAACACAGCACGGGCGAGCGTTTTCTGGAAATAAAGACTGTAAGACGAGCTAGCAGGTAAAGCAACAGTGACAGATCGTGTTTATCAGAATGTGTGTGGTACTTACATGACCGGAGCAGCTGGACAGACAGAGTTTCAGAGTTTCGGCACCGCTTCTCAAATCAACATCAGGAAACTCAGTGGGACGTTTCTCACGGTGGGCGGGACGGCGAGCGCTACGTCTCCTCCAGGAACGTCACGGTTGCGCTCGAGTAACGCAGCCACTGCGCAAATCTGCACATACACACAGGCAAATATTTTCAAGGCGTTTCCTTGATATCAGAAATTGAAAGTGAACAAGTCAATTGTTATAAATACTTGTAAAAAAGCGGGCATATACAGTACAGTGCAAATTTGCATCTGAGAAAACATGTGGGTCATTTTGTCATTAACGTGCCATAAAGATGAGCTAAAAACCACAAAAACGTTGGCATCTGTTTGATCTTTGCTCTATTTCTACATGAAGTCATGTTGTGCATGAAAAACAGCCTGTCAGAGCAGTGACTTTACAGATGCTTAAGTATTATTTTTATGTGAAACAACTCATCTGAGCATTGAGCTACACAGACATTGAAGTAAACACAAATGAACATATAAATAATCTTTCCTCGAGGATACACAACACTTACAGATACCATCCAATATAGTTTCTCTAATTCGTTGTTCATTAAATTAAATCAAGTGCGACTGATGGAATTGGGCAGATCCATGCAGTGCACCCGAAAATCAGGAATCAAACTTGTGTCCTTCTAAATATATTCTTCTAATCAAGATACTAATAAGTATTTTTTTTCTTGTAGGGGCCAGCCAAGTATCCCCACAATGCTGACAGGCTCCAAACAGCTACATTCACAGCCATGTGTCCACCACTCAAATACATGCGCTTACCTAGTGAAGATGCTGGGGGTATTCTTTGAACGATCAAAGATCAATTTCAGTAGGCATCTGAGAAAATTGGCCTGAAAAATCTATTCATCTGGTTAGTGTTCGATCATCAGAAAATCACTAATATCACAATAAATATGAATCATGATATTACAATATGCAGTGATTTTATGTATACCAATATGTTCCTTATCTCATGTCAGCATGGTAACAATTGCAGTTAACATCCAGTACTTGGTTTGGTTAATGAATGTTTCATCGTGTCAAATCAAGTTTGCTGCTGATGGAATTTAACCTCTGTATGTGATGGCTGGGGCATCCAGGAAACATCTGGAACCAAACTCTGTTCTTTAAACTGTCTCACAAGATATCAACTACTCAGGTGTCTAAGACTTTTGCACAGTGTTGTGTTATGATATACACCATTAAATGTTGATTTGAAGATCACTCAGCTAATCGGTGCTTTAACTCTCTCTCTCTCTTACTCATCTTCCTATGTCTGTTGGGTAAGTGGTGGAAGTCATTGCACCACTTCTTGAACACCAGCTCAGATTCTCCCTCTCCACTTTACAAAAGAAAGGAAATTGTGCAAACCAGGTGTTAGTCTAGAAGATGTTAATTCTAGGAGTTACTGCTCAGTGACAACTAGGAGTTATAAAACTGATGAAATGAAACAAATAGGTAAGTTATTTCACAACTGAATCAAAGGACCCATGTGCAGGCCTTTAGTGTTTAAAGGGTTTACAGCTCCCAAAGTTTATTTATCCACTGATCTGCTCTAAATGTCACCAAATTTCCTTCAGTGCTTTTTTATGTTATACACCAGCTAGAACTGGGGGTCAATTTGCTGACACATCTATCATCAAAAGTACATTATTTATGAATTTCTAGGATCTCTACAGATTTACACATCTCTAAAAGGTCTCAAACTGTTCTCACAGTTTCATCAACCCCTCAGTTGCCTGAGGTGAATGAGCTGACATGCCTTCGCTTTTCTCAAAGGCTTTGAGACCTACATGACACGAGTGGAGGTGGAAAACAGACAGGAGGTATAAACAGAGGAGTGCACTCACTAACACAGTATTTTACAAAACAGGTTCTGTGAACAGATGCTGGGAACAAAGTGAAAGATGGAGCTGGAGAGGCTTTACGCTCTAATTGAAAATATTGCAAAGACATTTGTTCAGCAATTGTTTTTTTCTCCTCCATAACAATATGTGCCTTTTTAGAATTCAGCATACTGCTGAAAATCAACATTGTACAATTAGCTCCAGTTGCTGACAACAGATGTTATTCAATTCAACTTCATTTTTTCAAATATATTTCTCAGAATTATACTTTTTAGGCCCAGTAAACCTCTGATGTGAATAGGTTTTTATAATGAAGCCATAGAGATAAATGGCTGCTCCAAATGTGTTCATTATTTCTTTTCCTTTTTCAGCGCCATTCAAAGTCGATAGCTGAATAATAATTGAGTTATTCATTAATCTCACTCATGGCACAAGGGGTCACAATGTGTTGAGCAATAGTAAGGTGGGTCACATTTTATGGTCTATTCTAACCTTTAGAGCTTCACTGACTCAAAGTTGTTGCCTCCTTGAGGCTATGCACTAATATTATCCAGAATCCAGTGCCCACTGAATAGGCCCGTAGCTCAAGAACCAGGACACCATGAAAAGGTTCATTGAATACATACAGCACTGTGCGAAAGTCAGAGACCACCCTTCATTTATTTAATTTACCTGTACCAGATTTTTGTTTGTCAGAAAAACAACATCTGAAAATGTATAAAGTATTTAGTGTATCCACACTTTACCTTTATTACAGCTTCCACTCAAATGTACAGTCATGTTTTTCAAACACCTACATTTTCTGCTTCTCACAATCCCCAAATCAAGTAACCCCAAACACATTCATAGTATAAGTGAATCATCTTGTATTTAATTTATTTAGAAACGTCTCCTGTAAAATGAATAACTTCTAAATAATGGCTATTTTGACTGGAAATTAAATAGACAAAGGGTGGTCTCTGACTTTTGCATAGTATTATGCATACTGTCAAAGGTTCTGAATTGGGCAGAAGTTGGGTGGAGCACAGAATACGCCTAGAGATTCACCTCTAGAGAATCTACAACTCGGAAGTGTTTTGACTTTAAATTCTCTTTGAGTAGCCCTGAGGCCTAAAAATAAAACAAACAGAAAGCGGAAAATAGACTGTGTGTGTCATAAACACACACAAGTGTGTACATAAGATTCACTGTGGTGCGGGTAAAGAGTGCAGTTGTTGCTTAAACCAATGTGATTTCAAATAGACGGGAATGACAGTTTGGATGAGTTGAATTTCAAGACAGAGTTCAAACTAATTTAACAGAGTGCTCTGGTGGCACCCTTAGTACAAAAAAACTATAGGGAATTGTTTGCTATTCATCGGCCTGATCTTGCTCTGAAAATGTAGAAAATCTAATCAATCACAGTTTTAGTGATTCCAAAGAGTCAGTTAAATCTTGTTAAAAATAAACGCTCATATTTCACTGTTTAAAGTATATCTGAGCCTTCATCTGTGAACTCAAGCGCTGACACTGTCATGACTTCCTGTTTCAGTGGTGTGTAAAGCTGAGGTCATAAGCTGGTCAAACAACCTTAGTCTGGCATCAACATGCGGAAGATCAGAGAATGCAGAAATGAAATGACACAAAAGGTTGTTGACCTTCATACATCAGGCAGCTATTAAAAAGCTTCACATACTTTCATTATATTACATGGTTTAATTATACAAATTGCAAGTAATTGGAATTGTGATGAACCTGCATGGACAAAATTGAACAAAGGATAAGGTTTTGCAGTGGTCAGTTCCCTTACCTAGAATGCACTGGAAACCTGAGACTAGACTGAAAAGGAGATTGAGAAATAAAGAGTCAAAGGATCTTGGGAGATTTGTATGGAGATAATTTTATGTTCTCCCACTTAATGAATCATAATAAGAGAAGTCTCAATGTCGTTAACTCGAAAAAGGAAGGGTGCACAAAGCTAATTCCAAAAGAGTTGGGACAGTATGTGAGAAGCCAGTTAAAATTTGTTTGACCCACACTAAACTGAAAACTGTTCAAAAACAGAATATTTGATGTTTTACCTTATGATTTTTTTTGTAAATATATGCTTATATCCAAATATGATATCTGCAACACATTCCAAAAAAGTTGGGACAGGAGCATGTTTCATTTTAACAACAGTTAAAGGACGTCAAGACACATCTTCAGCTGCATAATTGTATGAAACCTTCGTTGTTGTATTTTGCACTTCATGATTTGCCACGTTTTAATAGGAGACAAGCAGGTCAGTCTAGCACCTGCACTTATTGATTACGCAGCCATTCTGTTGTAACGTGCAGAATGTGGCTTGACATGATTTTGAAATATATATGTATGTCCCTGAAAGAGACACATCTAGAAGGCAGGATATGTTGCTCCAAAATGTGATATCTCATCACAGATGTTCAAGTTATCCACTATACCATCACCATGATTTTTAACTTTATGCTGGTAACAATCTGGATGGTCTTTTACTTTTTTGGCCTGGAGAACATGATGTCCATTATTTCCATAAACAATCTGATAGGTTTGGAACAAGTTGCAAGCCTCAGCTTCAGAATGAGCATATATGCACCAAACACAATGAAGTTAATGAGGTGAAACTATAATTATCTTGTCTTTGTTCTGCTTTCATTTTAATACAGGTCTAAATGGACTTACACACCACTGCAACCTGTTTTTGTTTCCTTGTAACATACTGTCCTAACGTTTTGGGAATTGAATTTGTATTGAATGCAGGGGTGCCAATAATTGTGTCACATGCACATTTTATTTTTTGCAAGGATTTATTTTTTCTTTGAATAATTAAAGAGTTTCATTCCAAAATGCTTAAAAGTGGTCTATAATGTCTTTTGGAATGAAACCCTTCAATGTCATTTAACCAAAAGGCTGTGTTCCTCCTATGTTTTCAGTGCAAGAACAAGCAGATAAACGAAGACAACTTCTTTTTCTCTTCTTTTATTTTTTCATTCTGCTGGCTTTAAATACACCCTCTATGCGTCTTCTCTCAGCTGTGGTAAAACATTCTTTCTGAGGTTTGGTCTATCTTGTTCTCACTTTCTCATACTGTGCTGCAATGGAGACACATGGCCTGCAAATCCTGTGAAGCAAGAGTCATGAGCCGGTGAAGCGACATGAGAACACAAAAACCACTGAAGATATTTTTTTCTCACCTCACAAGAAAGCTTTTGGACGGTGGCATTATGGTTGTTTCGCTAGTTAGAAGGCAAAGCTTTTGTTTTTGACTTAAAAGTACGTTCAGAGTAATCAATTAGACATTACAGCATGTTTTGAACTCACACCTACAGTGTCTGAAAGAAGAAATATCAGCCCCATTTCATATTAAGTGTCTTAACTGCATAGTTACACATTAACAACACAAGCAACAACGTTGATTACCAATCTGTGATTTCACTGTACAGTAATGTAGTCAATTATACATCCTATTACACGTGTAATTATATAAGAGAAAATATGCTGTTACACTTATCAGGATGCACTTGTATGATTAAATGAGTAAAACTAAAGTTAATACACAAGTGTATTTACCTTAGCTGCACTACTGTACTCCATCTGTAACAGTAAATACTTCACCAGTAGCTACATATATTATAGACACTTAATAGACCCAAATAATTTTAATAATAATTTCAAGTAATGGTTTACATTTATTGCATAGCCTTTGTGTGTTATGTCAGCCTGAAGTCTATGGTTTACTTTAAGTATGTAAACCATAGACTTCAGGCTGACATGGCCTCAGGCCTGCACTGTGGCTATCTTTAGTCCCCACTTGTTGAAGCCAATGTCCAATCTATTAACTTGGATTTTCCAAGGAAATAGGCCACGGAGGTTAGAATTTGCTGCTATATTGAGACGGTGACTGGCAAAGTGCCAACTAACAGCACTGAGAGGAAAAAGCAGAGCATAGCTCAGATATTGCATGTGTTTAGATACAGTATGAGCAGATAACACGCAAAATCTGTATGCAATATTTACACATTATTCATTATTTAATATTTCATTCCAGTTAGAATGGAAAAATCAAACCATATGGAGGTTCGGTTTTTATTATATATGAGAGATGATGGCTTACTTGACCCTTCTCAGGCAGAGTCATCACACAATATAGTGCCTCATATTTTAAAATTCAAGAGTGAGTGTTTTCTATTTTCGTCACATGTGAATGGATGCTGTAGTTCAAGGCTGAGCAACACAGCAGAGCTGAAACATTTGCAGTAACAGCAGATTGAGAGCGTTTTCTTTGTGTTAAGCATTGACCTAGTGCCACAGTCCAGCTGTATTTTCAGTCTGTAGAATAAGTCATAGCATATCACAGAAACATACATCAGAGTTTGGAGTGAGAGCCAGAGGACAATCATATACACCTTCAGCTGCTTCACTCCACTCAACATTTCCACAACACTATTCAATAGTTTGTCTATATCAGTGGCTTTCTTCTGGCAAGCCTTCCAAAAGTTTGTTGGCAAAGAAGTGGCATCTAATTGAGATCCGGAGATTATTACTGGATTCTATTTTAATAGCCATTGCTAAAAGATGGCAAAAATGATCATAACTACAGAAATGTTCACAATTGTCAAGGCAAATTAATGCAATTGTTATTTTGGAGTATATATATATTTATGTGTGTGTGTATAATCATTATGCTGTTACTATTACTTCATTGTTAATTTTTGGTTGTTAAATTATTGAAATGCCCAACAGAAAACAGCCCAAACAGAATTTCCTTCTCCCTCGTGTCTAGGGTAGATACAGCGAAGCAAGTGCTCCCATTGGTTGGCCTTCAGAAGCTGGATGGAAGGCCTAACAGATCAGATTAACCACCAATCAAAATTAGGAACTGACAGTGTAATTAACCAAATATGTGACTGTAGGCCTTCAGATGTCAGAAATTGATGGCCCAGATAGATAGGTAGATAGATAGATAGATAGATAGATAGATAGATAGATAGAAAAGTTATATGTATGAAAGTGATGATATCAAAAATGAATGAGTAAGGGTGCCTGGCCGGCATATCACCTCATCTTAATACAGAAAAACATGAATTACCATTTAACTGTTCCTAAAGACAACAAAGATGCAAAGATATATGAATAGTAATATGAATATGTCAATGACATTTAATTCCTACAAAAAAAATTGGGGGTGCCAATAATTGTGTCACTTTTTTTATTTGAAGTAAAAGAAAAAATGGATTTTCTCATATTGTCATGTTTTCCGTTAAATATCAAAGTAATAAACAACAAAGACAGTTTCTCATTGCTCACATTTGCTCAGGATACCAATAATTCTAGAGGACATTGTGTAGATGCTGTCTAGTCTCAGTTGTGTTCCAAAGTCTTGCTTGTGTCACTTGTTTACCAGACAAAAAAAACGGCAGTTGATGTTCCAAATTATGTTTCCTTCTAGGTCCTGTGCTCTACATAACCAACCAATCACTCTAAAATGGTCTGAACGTGTTGCATGGTTTATTAGCAATGTTCTTTTCTCTTGTGTCTGATGTTGTGGAACTAATGCACATAATGATCCTTATTTATGCTTTTTAACTCGTCCCATCCTCTGTCTCTACAGAACTGTCTGCAGCTACTACACAGAGAAACGCTACAAACACATTCTAAACAGAAAATAGACCATATTCATTTCTCCCTCAGAAACATGCTGACTTTTTGTATTCTTTGTGATTGTGTTTGAACAGATGTGTTAGACGACACTAATGCCATCAGCATGTTTCGGACAAATAAGGCAGCACAAAGTGACACACTCATTAAAATACTCTACAGATTTGCATAGTGTAGTTTGTAGGAATGTCTACTTCACTGGTCAGCTAATGATGTTGACTTTGGGCATTAAAGTGTCAGAGAAATGACAACAATGTGCATATCAGCAGAGCACCTGGCACTCTGTGTGCCTGAGCTAACTCTCCTGCTGCTGGTAACAGCATTTCCACTGTCATGTTTGGACAGGTCCAGTGAAGTGTTTCGGATGGGTCTATGTATGCATGTGGTATAAATAACAGTGCTAAACATATTTTTCAAAAATTAAACTGAATTGAGTAACACCCTTAGTTAGAGAAGCCTTAAGAGCAGTGATGAAACGGATGTTGCGGTTCTGAGTAAGACGATACATTAACATATTAGCAGGGGAAACTCTCCGGCCTTTAAGGCCTTTCTGTGAAATAAAAAACATGTCTGTAATGTTTAGTTGATTTTATTTATTACAATCATTATGTTGCATTTGAAGTCTGCAAGTATTGTAGTAATACTATTATTTCATTGTTAATTTTTGGTTGGAAACAAAAGCGTTTAATTATTGAAATGCCCAACAAAAAACAGCCCAATCAGAATCTTCTTCTCCCTGGTGTCTAGGGTAGATACAGCCAGGCAAGTGTTCCCACTGGTTGGCCTTCAAGAGCTGGACAGCAGGCCTAACAAATCAGATTAACCACCATAATTAGGAATTGACAGTGGAATTAACCAAATATGTGACTGTAGGCCTTCAGGAAATTAGAAATTTATGGCCCAAACTGAAGGCCCTGCACTGCCACCATTCCCACAGCATATTAGCATATTCTCTTGTTATGTTTGTCTGATATATCACTGCTGTCGGGAACAAAACCTCATGTCTCCAATTTTGTCGTTTTCCAGTTTTTGACAGAATTTAAAAGTGCCTGTTGCCCTTTACATTGTGTATGAATTTCATGATAAATGGACCAAAAGAAATGGCCCAAACTGACTTGAAAAAATGTCTGGTTCCATTGACCTAAATTAAAAGTAAAGTAGATTTTTTCCTTCTCCTGTGAAGTTACCATTTAGGAGATGATAACAAAATCTTTAATTCTCCACTGTATATCACAGGTCCTGTAAATACATACACATTCGTTGGTTTGAGCACTGCATTATAGACTTAAACATAAATTGGATCCTAAATTGTAACTTATGCTCCTGTATCATATTATTTAATTGGAAATTGGAAAACACTAGAATCAGCAATAAACCGGCTCCTTAGACAAAATAATTGTTAGCATATCCTCCACAATTTCTATTATAAGGGACAATTAAAGTGAATGCCGTTATTGAAACTTTTTTTTCAAAATTGTCACATGGATCAGTGTGACTTATATTTCAGAGTGATGCTTATAATTTGAGAACAAAAAAACAACCAACCAACTTAAGCCTTGTGAAAGGTGTCACAGCTTGGTTGCAGGTGTGGACATAAAATTATAATGAGGCTCGGCCTACTCTACATGGTTCCATGGCTGCTAGTGGAAAATTGGCGTAAGACTTATGTGGCCAGTTTTCCTGACACAGATTAAGGCTTTTATGAATAATGATTCCTGTGTTACTCTTGGTTTAAAATTCATTTGCTGATTTTTCTGTCTGTGCAATCACAGTGGACCCAACAGATAATGCTGGATATGCACTAGGGTTTCTCTGAGGTATGTGAAGCAAGTATACTCCGAAGGTGACCTGTGAACAAGAGCATTAGACAGAACAAATCAATTAAAAAAAGAAGTACGGCATTCAAAATCAGTGAATGAGTAAAATATACACACAATATAAGTAATAACAACTAAATGACAATGTGCAACAAATCAGCTTTGTAGCCCACTTACAATGGAAGTTGTGAGCTGTTGAACTGAGGCAGTACATTCATAATCCTAAATTAACTCTAGGGACCCGTGGGCTGGTCCACACCTCCAGCCCTCATTTTCATAACTACCTAGATATTAGCTTGATAGTATTTATAGGATAATGAGCCTTAAGATTAATGATGAGGGAATGATAAGCTTAGAGGTTAAATAAAGCTATTAGATTTCACTTACCTTCCCATTCCGGCATTCAGACAGAGACCTGAGAGGCTCTTGGGTCCTAGAACCAGAGGCCTGGTCTATTCCAATCACCTGGCATCGACCACACCTGCCTGCCACCTTTAACAAGTCCAGGAGCAACTTCCCATTACTGGCTGTATTTACATGTGTGGTTTACCTCTGATACTGGCATCTTCAGTTTCACTTATATCAGTTATGTTTACTGCCCTTGTAACAGTACACATGATTTATGCTAACCTTAAACAGAGCACCTCCTATTTTCACATCGGACCAGTCCTCTTCTTCAAAAGGCTCCAGGCCTGAGATAACAAGGTTGGCCCGGAAACGGTGAATGAGCTGTAGCATGTCGAATGATGTGCCATTTTGTGAGCTATCGTGTCTGTGATAAAGCCAAAATGGAAAAGAACCACATATGATTCTGCTTTGGAAGTTATGAACAAATCATACCGTATAAATATCCATTCTATCATGCAACATGATTTGGGCATGTATTAATGGTATATAGTGGTCATTACTTGTTGACGATATGATCCAGCAGAAGAGCCACACTAGCTCTGTTAATCAGCAAAAACTGAGCCTCATTTACCAGAGAGAGGGGAGGGGGACAGAGTCCTGGGACACACACACGTTGCAGAGTCAGAATTCTTTTCTTTATCATATTTACATGATTGTCAAAACACAAACAAGTGATCAGAGTTTAAAACAAAAGCATCATGAGAGACTAATCTTATAAAAGTGATCAGATTTAGATCAGTTCTCATTACATCAGTGTTGAAATAGGATTAATTATATTAACAAGTGCTGTAGTACTCGAGTCGTGTCTTGGTCTCAAGTCTAATCTCTAGACCATAAATTAACAGTTCAGTCTTGTTTCAGTCTCAACATCATTTGGAGTCAGGAAATTGTTTTTGAGACCAGTTTGAGTGCAATGCCCCTATCTGAGGTAATTGTAAACACATTTATATTATTATTGAATATCAATAATACCTTCAAACATAATAAAGCAGTGCTTTCTCTGCATGTTCAAATAAAATCTGTTCTTATTGATCTTTCAATGATGGCTTAACTGGGTATTGAGTGATGAGTGAGGTGAACAGGATTGTGTGGTTAGGCTTAAAGACTGTTTACTACCACTACCCAACAGATACGCTAGCCAGGTGTATTACTCTATTAGTCTTGTTCATCTTTTAAGACTGAAATTTAAACTGAATTGTTCAAACAACTGAAAAAAATCCACCTGAATTTCATTTACTCTACATTTTTACAACAAGAGACGTGATACTCAACATCATGTTACTACAGTATGCTGGACTGATGTGCTGTACCTTGTTCTTGGCCCATTTTCATATCCCGAGAGAAATCAGGATTCTGTCTAATCAGACAGCAAGGTTTTCCCAGAAACTTAGAGAGCCAAACTGATACTCTCTCCCCACAGTCGACTGCCTGTACTCTGAAAAAAGGAGAGAACCATTGATTATTTTACTTTGAACGTCAGTAGCAATACTGTCAATGTTTAAAGGCCCAATAAAACATTGCTGAAGAGGCTTCATGACTTAAATTATGCTCACATCAAGCAGGATATACAGTCGTATGCAGACGTATAGGGACCCCTGGCCAATTTACATGTTATGCTGATTTTCTGAGTGAAAATAAGTTAACACATCCTCTACAAAGCACACACTTTTGCACATTTCAATGCATGAATTTGACATACTGGAGGGTAAAAAAATGTGGTCTTTATGGCACACTTTATAGTTTTAGTTTTTGTGCACTAAAATTGGCAAAAAAAATGTCATTTAAATGTGTTCTCTGTAAAGGATGTGTTAATTTATTTTCACTTAGAAAATCAACAATACATGTCATTTGACCAAACTTCTGCATACGACTGTATGTATAAACTGCTAATTTTAGTGGTTGCAACAATATGACATTGTCTTTAGAAGTCTGTATTGTTGCACACCTGCCAACTGAAAGTCTTAATGTGGAACAATTAAATTCAGCCTGTAATGAGTCTCATAACACATCAATTAAATCTCAATTGCACTGGGGTATCAAATAGATGGAGCAATACATAAAATGGACAAGAATAAATTCCAAAATCAGGAAAAAACAACACTCAAAAGCAATTTCTACAAAACATGTTTTCCGCTTACCTGTCACCGCAGACCTTGCTTTGACATTTTCGTAGAACAAGATTTTCTTCACTGGCCTCCAGGGGAAGAGTGATGGGATCCATGCCTGAAAAAGCACTGGGTACTTTTTCACTATTCTAAAACATTTGACTTATGGGAAGGTAACAAATTTGTCACTTTGTGACAAGAGAATTCTCATATACACCCACAAATACAGTCACAAATACACAACAACATTTAAATTCTAGTTGCTATTTTTCATGTGTTTAAAATTTTTCCCTTATGAGGAAGTTAACATGAAGTTAACAAGAACACAAATTATGCCAATGAAAAAAACAAATGAGTAAATCTGTTTCTAATTAATAGAAAAGAGCCAGTGCAACCTCATCTGCAATGTTCTGAGCGCTGGTAAGCACTGATGTGTGAAAAACACGTCTAGTCTTAACAAGTCCCAGACGTCATAAGCTCTGCAATTATATCTAGATTTAGTACATATTCACTGTAGAATTGAGCAGAGCTAAATTCTCATTGGTTGCACATGTCATGCATGAAGGAAGAAAGGCGCAAATCCCACCTGATCATGACTGTGGTTATTTGATTTGCTAGAAGAAAATGACTGGCTTGTATTTGCAACACGCTCCTCTGACCCAAATGAAACGGCTGATTCTATAACCATGGCTAATGACTTTCTGTAGGTGATAATGTTGCCTGGAAATCGAGGCCAAGCTGTGCCTGACCTGAGGCTTGCAGTCGCAAGGTGTTGGAGACTAGACAGATGTGTGGGTAGATGAGACACAGTTTTGGCTCTCTCTTTTGGCTCAGACAGACTCCATTTTCATTCACTACCATCCATGTGCGGTCATACAGAAGCCCCTGCAACCCCAAGGGCCACTCTGTCACCTGTGAACACAACAGTATAAAATGATAGTATTAGACTAGGAACAAAAGTGATTTCACATTACAAAAATGTAATAGCCAAAGAAAAAAATGAATTAAATGCAAAACAACATTGCTTCAACAAGAGTCCTTTATAAACATAGAACATTTCTGCTGTTAAAACTTTATGACTGTCTTTAGTACATAAGTGGATCTTGGCGGGAAAAATAATACACAAGACAAACGAAGGATATGGGCTCTTTAGAGGTATCATTTTGGAGATATAACGTTTTGTTACAACAGCAACAATAAACTGTACTTCTGAAAGTAGTATTACATGTCAACTATATGCATTCTGGCTGAAAATAAGGCAATGCTTACTGTACCTCAAATGCAGCACATGATTTAATGGGATATATAAAGATATTGGTCAGAGTGTGGGCCTTCCCACTGTTCCCCTCTGTTTTTAAAACAGCCTCAGTTGATGAGGCCTTTCTGACAGGAGCAGGAGAGATATTCAGGTCATTCCCCTCAGGTACAGTTCTCCCATTGGGTACAGAGGTCAATTCGTTTGAAACTGTAGCCTCTGCTGGAGCAGCTGATCTTAATCTTGCCAATCTCTCTTGGTCCAGTCTTAGTGGTTTATCCACAAAGCAGCTCACGACGAACTTAAGAAAACTCTGACAATCCTCAAAAGTGGACATGTACCCGAAGGATATGCGGATGGACCCAGTGGGACGGCCCTCTACCATGTCAATGTTGTCTCCACAGACATGACCAGCCTTAGTTAAAACAAAAAAAACACAGATCTTTCATATACAAACTTTATGCAATCAGTAATAATGATAAATTTACTATAAAATAATATGCTTATGATGTTTCTTAGTTTGACGCTTTCACTGACCTGTAGGTTCCTTTTCACTTCTTGGTTGCTGATGCCTAGATGGGCTTGACAGGCCCCTGTGTTACAGAAGCATCCTGTGCGCATATGAATACTAAACAGACAAGCCATTTTGTCCACCTGAGGAAAAAAGGAAAAGCTAGCATCTTTAAAATCCCAGTGCTGCCTAGTGAAAGTAAATGTAACTGCTAAATCTTGTAAAGCCTCTTAATATAGAAAGTCCCTAGAAGGCTGAACATCTAAACGCACTGAAAACATGTGATTCTCTGTGGATTGTTTACCTGTGAATATCCCACCACTCGGCCATGGCAGTCCAGCAGGTTGAAGCTGAGGACAGCTCCCTGGTCAGCTGCACTCTCAAACTCATTGTCACAGTAGATTTGAGCCACAGGCTGTCCATTGCTATGGCGCAGGCATGAAAGCATAATGTAGGTGTAACGAGCTAAACCAAATGTGTGCAGCTGAATGTTCACCATGCTACCTGAGGGGAAAAAGAGGCACTATTAATGTAGGCCATTGTACAAAGAAAAAAAAATAAGTTACAGAAGAACCTTTGCAAGTTTAAAGGATTAAAGGAAAATGATATAAAATTTTATACCAGTGAGTTTGTGAAGGGTGTCAAAACCATGATGGAGGGAAATAACATCAAGGAACGAAATGGTGCCATCTTCAAATCTAATGATTTATGCCAGTACAAAATAGAAAACAACTATTCAATCACCCATTCAATTTAATGTTTTACTAACAGAAAGGCATGTGTTTTATATTGTAAAGTACCTTACCTGCTGACTATGTTTGACTTTGGTACAAAATAGTCCTCTCCCACCAGATAAGCTGCTGCCGTCCCTCCTCCAAAATAGCCCTTTCTCAACAGCTCAGCTGCCTCATTCCTTACCAGCAAGGCCCCAAGTCCAGTGGGGAAGCCAAACATTTTATAAAAAGAGATGGGCACGAAATCAGCAGGGTGCTGCTTCAGGTCTAGTGGTGAGCAGCCAACGAAACAGGCAGCATCCAGCAGAACAAACCATCGGCCTCTGCGCTCACACGCTGGGAAGAGCCGCCGAGACTGAATCCCTCTCACATAGCTCAGTGGATACTTCCGCCCTGAGAAGTTGCTCTGGGCAGGGTAACAGAAAAGATGGGGCACTGAGCATTCATGCCCTGTACTGACAGACGCTTGATTATTTTCGACCCTTGCTTCTACTTCCTGAGGTGACACAGGCACTGTTTCGACTCCTTTAGGGCCAGTCGCCCCACGGATGCCCACCACAGAGGTGTGGTTGTCAGTGAGGTAGCAGAACTGACTTCCTGAGCAATTGCCATGAGCAGACACCCACGGGAAGGAGTCAGCCACTAGTTTAAGTGCAGCAGTGCAGCCAGCGGTGAAGATTACAGAGTACTCCTCAGGGCTGGTGTTAAAGTGCTCCAGTATCCTACAGGGCAAAATAACACAGAGTTGAAAAGCAAGAATCTTTCAAAGTGTACATGAGAAGCATCAAACTCTAGTCATGAAGCATCTCAACATACTGTATCATTTTCTCTACAACCCTGTTTCCAAAAAAAGGTTGGGATGCTGTACAAATGCTGAGAAATTTTACCGTTTTTTGAATTTTGAATTTGATGCCAGCAACACGTTTCAAAAAACTGGGCATTGGGACGGGGCATGTTTCCCACTGGTTTGCATCACCTCTTCTGTATTCTGTATTTATCACATTAGACTGCAGTGATTTCATTACAGAACTAGAATTAAGGCACCTTGGTCAAAACAAATATAGCCACTCACAAATCCACCAACGCCCGACTACCTACAAAATTAGCTTGACAATAGACAAGCTTGAAGGCTAGAATATGTATTTTAGAACTAAACTGACTGCTTGTAACATAATTTAGTTTATTTCCCCAGACACTGCATCATTTACATATGTCTGCTACAGGGACTAGTGATTTTCAATAACAACAAATCTCCTGATAATTTTACAAATTACAGATCCCTATTACGCATTTTTCAAAACTAGTCCTAATTCCCTTTCAGTGGCTTACATCTTAAGATTGTGAAAAAGATAGCAAAAGGATAGCAGGCTACTCCTGAGCGACTGACGGCAAAGCTTTTCAGACATCCCACTGATGATTAAGCAGAATATTAGACAAAATGCCACCTTTCAGTGTTCATTTTCCACTCACAGTCCAATTTTCTTATTTTCTTTTGGTATCCTCTGTAAGTTAGTTTAGTGAATAATAGCATAAATAATTCCAGTCATACAGCTGTTTGATCTAGCAATGTCAGCAACATAATTTTCCAATTTTTAAATCATTTTATATTAGACCTAGTCATTATTTTCTGTTAATTGTTTGCAATATCTGTCTTAGTTCATTTGACAAGATAAAAGCCTGTGTGCATTTAAAATTTGTTTGAGATTAAAATCTAGTTAGATCTTGTACACAGGACAATAATCTGGGTGGTCTGAGGGTGGACCAGTGGCATCCAGTCAGCTGGGTGCTGACCTTATCAAGCCAATGGACCCATATCTGCTTGCTATCTGGTTCTGAGGTTTAAGCAGTTAGGAATGAAGGGTTACGACTCCTACCTAATCATACAGAGTAGAATATGGCATGGCATAATACTAGTGAATCTAAACTGTACCATAATACAGAAGCAGGAACAGTTACAGTAGTGTCACAAACTGGATAATGGGAGAGAGGCAAGTGTAGAACTGAGTGCCTATTTCTAAGTCTGGGTGATTAATCAAATTTTATTTTCAATTATGAATTTGGCTTCTAACAATTATGGAAACAAGATAACTGAGATAAAACAACTACTGTGCTGTTTCACAGTGAAGCTCCCAAACCCAGTGCATCCCTTTCCTTTACAGCAGTGTGCTTTTGCCCCTTCCAAAAAAACTCAAACTCTTCTAACTTATTTAAGAAAATATTATTATTAACATAATAACAATTATTATTATACTATATAATTATTATTATGATTGTAATTATTACTATTACTATTACTAGTATTTAGTAGTTTTCAATAAGTTGTAGAAGTGCACAACAGCAAAGTTTATTATATTTATTTGGATTTTATTTATTTTTAATAATTATTTTATATTATTTATTTTAAAATATATTTAGATATTATGCATCAATTATCCTTTTTATTTGTGTTTAATTATATTTACAGTTCAAAGAAAACCCACTTTTTTTCTAAGTTCAATACCACTATGATCTTTCCAAAGACTATAAGTAATCATGCTAAATAATCATGATCTTAACGCTGATCAAAATAATCATGATTTTGAGTTTTTGCCATAATTGATCAGTCCTACCTGTACCGGACACTTTCCACTGTGTCGTGGGTCAGCCTGCTGCTGGGATTGTGGCTGTGAGGGTTGCCTAAGAGAGAGACTTGGTTAGAAACACATCTAGCCTGATTGTACTGAACAAACACGTTACATCACAGTCTGTATTTGAAGGTTCCACGGGCCCATAAATGACAGTGCCGTTATGACAGTGACTAACCATACACATTCCTGGATATATCCTCATAAAATTTCCTGATCTGGGATTCGGGAAAGAGCGTTGTCCCCGCATGATCAAGGTACGTAATGTCTGTGGAAAAAAGGACAAGAAACTATTAGATTAAAATAAAATCAGAGTACAGCATTTCTCACTAACGACCGACAGAGGGCGCCTCACACCACACAAAATGACTGAAAACAACAGCAGACTCACAGCAGCTGAACACAGTACATTACTTATGGGCGAACTTAGCCTAAAAGCTAGTTAGTACAGCCGTACAAGCAGGATATTTTTATGATTTAGACGTTTTGGACTGATAAAAGATGAGTAACCTCCAAAGTTCGCTATAGATACGCTTTGGATATCAAGGAGGAATCGACGCAAAATAACTTCTGAAGCGTTATAGTTGAGCAGGCACGACGGAGACATCATGTCTGCCCTCAGATCAAGCGTTTACCTTTAATCCTGGTGAATTCGCGCTGTATCAGTTCTCGTTGGTCAGTATCAAAACCGTAATGCGGCCAGATTCTCTTAAAACTCTCAAACGTGCACAGACCAGCGAATTCACTCGAATATGACTCCATTATTTCCAAATGTCAAACTGGCTGACATTTTCGTTGTTAAACTTTTCATTTCCTTCTGTGACAGGCTGCAGTGTCCGAGTCCTAAGTCCATGCATCCGGGGGAGAGTGGACGCTGTCGTCAGAAAACCAGAAAATGCAGAGGATATGACTCACTTTAGTTTCGCTGCCGTACCTCTCTTGTAGCATGTCCGACTGATTTTACCCTGAAATGATTTATTAGGTGAATCAGGCATGAGGCCCGCAGCCGTATCTGCGCTACAATACGCCTTTTTAAAAACTGCTGAAATAGAAGAACAGTGCTGTAGCCTATGTGATTAAATGGACAAATGTTCTGACACTCCAAGCCAAGTTATATAATGCTTTAATATTAATTTTTTTGGGGGCAAAATAACCTGAAATATAGTGTAGTTTCTTTGGGTTGAATATAGTCTACCATGAAAACAGTTTTATAGTCAGAAAAACCCTGAACTATATAAATAAGGCCATATAGTACAATAGATGATCAGTTTTGTGATACAGAGGACTTCATGGCTGAAGTTGATCATCCATACCCATTTGCTTTCCTTGATTTTGCCTGACCTGGTAGCCATGTGGATCTACATGCAAATCACAAATGAAAATTTAGTGAGGCCATATCAGGAAAAATCAAGGAAAGCAGATAGGAAAATAAGTTTTATTACTACCCTAACACCCATGAGATTCATGGGACGTGATGAGGACTAGCCCTCTGATGGACTGGCGGCCTGCCCAGGGTGTATCCTGCCTTCCACCCAGTGACAGCTGGGATAGGCTCCAGCACCCCACCGTGACCCAGAAGGATAAGCGGTTTAGATGATCATGATGTGTGTGTGTGTGTGTGTGTGTGTGTGTGATGTGGACTATTAAAGGGGATTCCATTGATTTTTCAAAATGTCTGCAAAATTCAGTCACTAATATACTAACAAAGTCATTCAGGGTGGTTTGATTTGAAATTCTAGAGAACCATTCTAGAGAAACTTGCCAGGTCAGAGTTGTTTCTAACAGTGGTGACTGGAGCCAAATATCCAAAAGGTTTAAAGTCTCTAAAAGTGACCTCACAGAAAGCTAATACAGAAAATTGTTCAGAATACATTGCCACATGCCTGAGACATTGTTTTACGATAGATTTGAGATAAGATTTTGGCCTAGGCACATTGTTTAAAACTATAAGTGAGTTTTTGCTTGTAAATGTCACTAAAATAGACTCAAATAAACTTTTTTTGTCAAAAAGCTAGTTGATATCTTGTGAGCTAGTTTAAACAACAAAGTTTGGCACCAGATTTCTCCTGGACGCCCCCCAGCCACTGCATGGATTTGTTAAATTCCATCACCAGCACACTTGATTTAATAAGATGTAGTATTGATTGGCCAAACTAAGTATGGGATGATAACTACAACTAATATTGGGCTTCTTCAAGTAAAGGTTTGGAAGTGGTTAAACAAACACACTGACATACATAAAACCACCACTTACTGTATTCATGTTATTTGTATTCATTTTAATATTATTGTTTATCTTATCCATAAACACTTTAAGGTGCCTAAAACGTTTACACAGTACTGTGTATTTTTAAATACATTTATGTTACATGTATAGTAAGGCAAAATAGTACCCAATTAAAACTTTTTTTCATTGGTATTTTACCACTGTAAGTGTTCCATATAAAAACTCAGAAGGCATTTGAAGGTTCACTGGATAATAAATAAAATAAATATGTATTTGAGTTGTAGACGTCATTACAACTGGTTCCTGTCACCACCACCAAGTCAGTTAAGTTTTTCTGCACATTTTCACATCAAAACATTCTGAATGACTTTATTTGCATCCCAAAGATTGAATTGTGCAAACTTTTTGAAAAATCTCCAGAATTCCCCTTTAAATAGTCTGTACTACTTGAGCACCAGTGCTAGTCAGGGCCACATCACAGATAGTAGGTACAGACTATTTTTGTAGTGGGTTCATTACCATTATATTACTTTTAAGGGCAAAGTTATTCTGCAGAGAATGAGATGGGGCTTTTGAAAGGTGTAGCTTTGAGCCATGCTTGATACTAATACAAAGTGGAGCCTTTTAAAACATATCCAGATTAGCAATTCATTAAATTCTCAATTTCATGCAATGGGTTTAAGAGTTTAAAGTGAGAGGGAGAGAAATTGAGAGTGACCATCGTTCATAGCCATCCCAAACAGCAGGCTGTAATTAAATATGCCACTTCTGCTCCACTGATTCGCTCACTTCATAATTTGGCTGCCGAACTGAATGCATCTCTTTCTGTTAAAGGACCACATTGTTTTCACAGAGCTTTGGCCTCATTAGCAGAAGTAGATGCTGGGGCTCTGGGGGAGGGGTTGACAGACTGGAGCACTGTGTCTTCCCATCCATAGTGATGTGACACAATCAGTTTGGAGATGATTGTGGCGATTGGAAAACCAAACTTGCTGGTATTTTTTACTTTTTACCTTAAACTGTCAAACATCTTGCCATTGTTTCCAGAACGCTGATTTAGTATGTCTGCATGATGGGCCTATTTGAGACTGGTCATCTGTTCCTATCTCTGCTGTATTTGGTGTTGAGAAGCACAACAATGGACGTTGCTGTAGCATCTAAACTAGTATACTTGTTGAACTTCATTCTTCAGAGAGGCCAACATATTCTTATTTAGTTTACCTCTATACACTACTGTCCTGATGAAGAACCTCCACTGTCACGGCACTAACTGTGTGAGTATTAGGCAAAGTGAGGGACTCCAAGCTCACTTACCCTGCTGTATGGGCTTATCAGAGGCTAAGCCAGAGGGAGGAAAAAAACAGTAAAGCTAGTCTCAGTCGGGCAGAGCTACGGGCACAAGGCCATCTGTCCATTCTCTGAATACAACTGACAACAAAGGAGGGCAATTCTTCATTACCAGGACCATACAGCCACTAGAGACTCACATACTCCCTCACATTGTTGGAGAGACAAGGAGGACAAGAGGGAAAAAACAACTGACCGACACCAACCTACTGTCTCAACCTCTATCAACCCAGCAGGTCAGTTTGCTAACTTGCATCAAAGCTGCTTGTCACGCTTTCAGGCTGGGACAAATAGGCTTATTTACGCATTTAACCTGTTTGGACTGTGCTTTAATGGGAACATACTACACTAAAGTGTTTTGAAGATGGAAAAAAATCTTTCTATCAGGCTATTTTTAAAGTTAATTTATGCATAGACTATATCTATGTAAGGTAAATGTGTACACATATTATACATGTCGCACCCTCTCTGTCCTTTGTTATTTGTTTTTGGACATGCGGGGATTATGTGTATCCAGCAATACGTGCACCTACCATCTCCACAGTCCTATCAGCTTTATAAATAATTTAAATATCTAGTAATAACTATGCGAACAAGCGATGCCACTAATATTTCCAAATGATGCAACAAACTTGAGCTAATATTTAAACAGTATGTAAATTTAGAACGTATTAATGCTTATGTAAGGATGCTTTGAAATTCATTGATTATCGCTTATTTTAATAACCACTACATTGTAAATGCTCATTTGTTTTGAGTTAATTGTCTAGATTTGCCCAAAGTTAACTTCAGAATTTAGGAAAATGACAGTTCAGCTTTTATTGTGAACATCTCGAGCAAAAACGAGTACTCTAATATTATATTGATGATTTTCTTACTAGGTTTTTCTTTCTTCACATTTTGGAGAAATGTTTGATCTGTGAGTAAATAAAACAGGCCATATATGATCACTATATCTGGGCTTGTTAGTGTTGTGACAGAGTGGTTCTAAGGACCTGGGGGCCTGCTGACAAGCTTGAGGAGACAGAAATGGGTCAAAAGGGTTTTAGCATTAGCCAAATAAATCCTGGCCTATAGGATTAGGCAAAGGCAGTTGCTGTTTGTTTGATGCATTTACCTGATGAAACAACAGGGAATAAAAGTCCAATAAAAGACCAGACGTTTTACTCCACTACAGACGGACATTGTTAGGGCCATTGTTAGCCTTATTACCGATATTGATCTGGTTAATGTGAATATTGATCAGTAGCATTTTCTAAACTCACCATATGGCACTAGTTAGCAGAGACATTTAGAAATGGAAATATTTTACCCCCCCCTTTGTTATAGAGTCCAGATCATAATTGTTGAAGCGAATACAGAAAACATTGAATCTTCATTCTGTCTCATCTTTTTTTTTTGGCATTATCATCAGGGTGCCTGCTGCCTGTCTGCTGCGTTAGGAGTACAATGGCGACTGAGAGAGCTGCTTCTGCTCTTCAAACCTCATGTAAGTATCTGAAAAACAGTGAAATGGAGGTGAGCTATTGTTGAAAGAAGAGTGCAAAGACAAAATATGGCGGAATTGATATTCTGTGCCACCTAGAATTCCTAATGAAACTCATTGTGTGAGCTGCAGGGCCTCATTAGGCAAAGATCAGGCACAGTACCCATTATCAGAGTAAAACTGCACAATAACTACAACTGCATAAGATATTCACAAAAGACCTTCAAAGGATCAGACGCGTCTGGAGAGCTAACATGAGTCCTTTTTTATTTCCACCCTCTATGTACCTCATGACCTCACCACGCTTATCACAGAGTCTCAGAAATAGAAAATGTTAAATCTCGCCTGAATTTACAGAGAGCATAAGAGGAATGTAGGGAACAGTCCAGCATTGTGTACTTACAGGGAAATTAACAAGATCTTGTTAGACATGGTCACACAGACATCACTTGATCCTCAGAGCCAGCAAAGAACAAGTGGCTCCTGTTGAGTCTTATCAAACACTGTCACAACAGTTTTATTAAAATGGAATCAATAGAAGGCACCTATGTGTGGCTCCAATTGCCGGCAGCACTGAACTCTCACATCCTCGCCCATTTCCAACAGGAACAAAAATGAAATAATGGACAGCGGAAAATTGGAAACGTGTATCTTTGTGAGAATTAAATGAATACTTTTGGAGATACAGTCTTTATATTTGAGGTTTATTGAAGTAATCAAATATGTAGCGTTTGGTATTGCAGAGATGTGCATCGCTGCTTATTGAATTGCATTTGGTCCTCTGTATCCTGTACTGAATTGCTAACATCCCTATCTGTTTGTCCGTGCAGAGCAAGTCTGTCTGAAAGCGTGAAGTGTCCAGATCATCAAGAAGTATGAATATGAATGAGAAGGAGGGCGGCTTGTCTGAGGGAGGGCTAAATGTCACCCTCACCATCCGCCTGCTAATGCACGGAAAGGTGAGGCTGGTAAACCCTTATATTATAAATGTTTATGAGCTGTTTCGACTTTGGGTCTTCCATAATAAATACTTAGCTGGAAGCATAAATCATTTTACACTCATTTTTGACATGTCCTAGTATGAAAATAAGTTATTACATTGTAGTATGGTAACTTACTGTATTAATAAAGTACACAGTGTTTTCATAGTTTATATCTATAAGCACATCATCATATACAGTGTTTGACTAAGATGTATAATAGTACCACTACTTAGTGAGACAGAACACATGGCCTTCTGCTAATTGCATTGCATTTGCACTTAAAGGGGTCAATGTTACAGTGTGTAATGCATATATACAGTAAAGGGCCAAAGAGACCACCCTTTATTTAATTAATTCAACTAATATTCAGTCGAAACTGCCATTGAGTTCACTTTAATCATTTTACAGCATCAGGGGATACAAGCACATACCCAGGGAGATTTTTCCACACCTCCAAAGTTCAGTCTTAGAAGTTGGTTGCATTTTCTGCTTCTCACAATCCAAGTAATCCTAAACACATTCAATGATGTTGACACTGGGGCTCTGGGGTGGTCAGTTCATTGTTCTGAGAACACCAGCAGCGTCTTTGTTTACTTTGCATGGGATTTTTTGTCTATTTTCTTTTCTCAGTAACGACATCTTGACAGCTAAACATACTTTCAGACTTACGGTGTTGAGTTGTCTTCTCACAGTGGAAGGATGGACAGAAACACCTGTAGATATTTTCAGATCTGAAGCAAGAGTGGAGCTTGATTTTCTTCTCTCTCTCAATGATGAAGGCTTTAAGTACTGTTTATCTGACTGGTTTGGTGGTCTGGCAACTTAGGACTCCCACTTTCTCTTCATCTTTTAATAATTGTTTGCACTTCCTTTTTGGAAAATCTCCTTTTTTTTGCTTATTTTCCTCTCTTTGCATAAGTAGTTTATCTATTATTTAATTAATTAACAAGTTAAAAATTAATAGATTGTACTTAATGTCCATTTTGATTGGAAATTATAGAAATCAAGGGTGGTCTCTGACTTTTGCACAGTCCTGTAGTATGACAGTATAATATGAAATAGTGACGTCACACTTTTGCCAAATAGTTTAGTAATCTACTTCTGAAGATGCTGCATTCATTTTTGCTTAATAATTATTTGATCTACACTACATCATCAACCTATATTCAGTTTATAGCATTATGAAGCACATAAGAGAATTAAATATTATATATTGTTGAAATTTTTATTTCTTTGCTACATTATTTTGTAGGAAGTGGGCAGCATCATTGGGAAGGTATGTATACTGCAAAATAAAGTTAGCTTTTACCATGTAGAGTTCCCTAACTGCGACTCCTCATTATAACAACAGGATTACTTTGCATTGCTTTGTATTTTAAGCATGTGTTCTCTTTAATAACTGTAACTGTTTGGTTCTCAGAAAGGGGAAACGGTCAAGAAAATGAGAGAAGAAGTAAGTAGCACCTTTAAATTGTATGATAATAAGTTAATATGTTTATGCCGTATGCTACAATTTGTTGAATGGCTGAAAATGGTTTTATTCTCTTAATATACAGAGCGCATTACAGAAAAAATGCATAAACGAGGCCCCAGTGTGGCTGAAGTATACCTGTTAAGCACAAGTGCTTTTGAGGCTGGCTTATACTAAATAAAACATGCATAATCAGTGCTAGAATGAAGCAAATAACTCATGAACGTTCTTCTCTCTGTGTGATTTTAGAGTGGAGCTCGTATTAATATTTCCGACGGCTCCAGCCCCGAGCGCATCGTCACCATCACTGGCCCCTCTGAGGTCATCTTCAAAGCTTTCACCATGATTGCAGAGAAGTTTGAAGAGGTTTGTCATATTGTGCTGAAAAACATCATTATATGTAATTAACTTCATTCTGCCGTAATGCTTTGGTAATCGTTACACCAAAGATTCAGAACTTTTTGAAAGAGGAACTTACTAAGACTTATTGAAATTAAAAAGGAATTCTCCTATGTGCTGTGTTTGGAAACTGTTGATATACTATGAAACGCTTGGCGTGCTGGCCTCAGTGGGTTTGAGCTGCAGTTACATTTTCTTCATCAGCACCTCATGTGGTTTCCCAGTCATTTTAGAATTAATATCTGTTTTAATTAGATGCTTTCTTTCACCGTAGATACCATCGCATTGTGCACAGTGAAGTAAATGACTTGTAATGAAGGCCATGTGACACCGTTGCTTCTCCACTGCAGGATATCCTGACGTCCATGGTGAACAGCGCTGTGACGAGTCGACCCCCTGTGACGCTGCGCCTTGTGTTCCCTGCCAGTCAGTGCGGCTCGCTTATCGGCAAAGGAGGCTCCAAGATTAAAGAGATCAGAGAGGTAGATATGAGCTTTAATCTGGTACCAAACAGATTAAAGAGAATGAGAGTTATGAAGGTCTGTGGGAGTCCCACATGATTCATAGCATGGTGATTTGTTTAACACTTGGTGTTCTTTGTTTGCATGCCCAGTGCAAACGCTCTGGCTCAGTGTGATTAATTGTTCTCATCAACACAGAACTTTTGTATTCATGAGCTAAGAGCAGCTCCATTTAGTCTCCAGCACAGCCGCACACCGTCCCCTCTGGCTTCCATTCCGAGCACCAAACACTTCTTCTTTCTACAGTTATCTGTCTAGCATGTATTTGACTAAGTAGAAAAGCAATACAGAAATAGTATGAACTCAGGAGGCAGCGTAATTCTCTTCACTTTGTTAGCATTTGACAGGAGGACAGTGGACTTTGTGAGAGAATTCTGCCTCAGCTTGTGGATTTCACTGAGTAAATTTAGCTGTCCCCTCTATTCAGGGCTGTGGCGGGTGAACTGGTTGGTTGAATTCCCGGTTGCTTTGAATGTCTAGGACAGGATGACCCTCCAAGGCCCAAATAGATTCATATTTATATACAGTATCCAAATAGGCTGGCCTAAATAACTGCTCACTTCATAACAATGTCAATTCAAAACTTGTTCTGAGCTGCTATTTTCAATGTCATTTTGCAGTGCTCTGAAAAATGAAAAGGGATATAGATGTACTACGACTATATTACGATAATACTAAAATATTACTTATAAAAATGTGCAGAACATGCCATTGTTCGTTGTGTTTCGGTCAAACTGCCAATTTTCTAGTCATTTAAGATCCTCTGTGGCTCGTTTGCATTAACAGTTTTGTATGTCAGACCACAGGTGCGCAGGTGCAGGTGGCTGGAGACTTACTGCCGGACTCTACCGAGAGAGCAGTGACCATCTCCGGCACTCCTCACGCCATCACGCAATGCGTGAGACTCATCTGTGCTGTCATGCTGGAGGTGTGTGTGCATGTGTGAAATTTAATTGTTACAGCTTTGAAGATGAATATGGATGATTTCCCCTGTGCTTCAGCATTATCACAGTGTGGGATGTATGTAATATATTGTAATTTTTCACCGACATGCTTCATTTGAATTCCATTTTATTAGATTCAGCATGTTTCAGAGCTTTCTGTCCTGCCTAATTCATCTAGCAGAGCTCTGGGGCCTCCCAGCAGCTTAGTCACTTTTCAGTCTTGAGTTTCTATGCTTTGCACTGTAAATGTTGACTTGGGAGAGGGAGCACATACTGTTAATTGAGAAAAATGTTCTCTCTCGTGCGTACTGAACGAACACATGGCTTCTTTTTTTCTGTCTTCTGGGTGTAGTCGCCGCCCAAGGGAGCAACGATTCCTTATCGGCCCAAACCTTCCCCTGGTGGCAATCCTACAATCTTATCCCAACCGCATACAGCTCCAGTGAGTAGCTCAACCATTACCCAACTTTCCTCAGAGCAGCAGTCGTGTTAAGTTATGAAAGCAGTGTGGTTATGGATTCAGTGACTCCACTTAAACATTAATGATTGCATAGCCGCACTGGGGAGCTATGAGTGTGGATATTTAGGCTAATGATTGCATTGAGATCAGTGTGGCTGAATAAATCTTGCTTTCAGATCTCATCAGTAATATAGTCACCAAACAGCCAGCAGAGTGCTTCAGTGCTCTCACACATGCATATAAGACTTGCTCTGGCTTGACTGAATTACTGATCCAGCACTGTCTGGTTTAATCAGAGTAGCAAGGAGTGTCGGCAGAGCTTCTCAGCCAATGCATAGTGTTCTATTCTATTAGCTTACTTTAGTATTTTTTTTGTTGGGACCATGTACAAATATCAGCATAAAATAAGTGCTGTACACCAGTGTTAACTACTAGCTACTAGGGTTGAAAGATTATTTGTGAGTGCAATTTTAAAAACATGAGATCTCCCACTTTTATGGCCTACATGTTTTGAGTGGGAATTTTTTGCAAATTTTTTAATAACACAGAGCTTGTAAACTACACCAATCAGACGTAACAATTTTGGCCAGAATCTGCATTGACTAAATGCAGATACTTCATTTATGCATTCTGAGTATCCCCCAATACATATTCCATAACATCCCAACCCTGGTAACTAGATGTGTACATGACAGCACAACCACAACTATCTGGCAGTCTAGCACACAATGTTCAGTGTTCAAGAAATAGTAGATATTCTGGTCTTCTTGGTAAAAAAAACAGAATTTAATTTACAGAAAAAACTCAATTTAAATCTCAGTTATAATATTAGTCCAGAAAATTGATTTTTTTTCCCCAGGTTGTTCAGCCCTACTACTAGTTAATATCCATCTGCAGTCCCTGAGCAGGTGCACATAAAATTCTGCGTTATTCTAGTATAGTCTATCTCATAGACTGAGACATAAAGATGTATGTGTTTATTCATGATGCCTTGACCTTTAGTTTGTAACGTCTTCACTGGATGTGATTTGTTTGAGAAGCTGTGTGATAAAGCAATCATGACCTTTAGATGGACTCAGCTGTGAGATGGTGAGCTGGCCAAGCATGCAAGTGCCCTGTAGATTCTTATAATTTTCGATCTGAGTCACTGATATGCATTTAAACCACACATTCTAAGGCTTTCCAATGTGGGAGGCACTAGATATTTTGATTACACTTTATTTGAAGGCTACCTATATAGGGACTTCATGACGTGTGCATAAGCATTGAATAACATATTTATAAGCAATATATTTATGAACAGTTTATGTCGGTAATCACAAAGTGATGAAATGTTTTATGTAAATAAGGTTAATGTAAAGTAAATGACATTGTATTAACAGAAAGCCTTAAAGGGACTCTAAACTAAATAACCATTTCTTCAGTTTGTAACACTGTAATGAAGCATCATTCCTAAGTAATGGAACTTATCAGGCAGAGACCTGGTTAATAGCACCATATTTGTATGTCTGTGGAACACATACGCAAAAATCCTATACTTGAGTAAAAGTAAATGTTTCAGACACAAAAAAACATAGTTAGCTGTTCAGTACTGAGGCTGCATTGGTCTCCTTAATAGAAATTGTACTTAAGGTGGAAAAATTGTACTTAGGATGTTCTTATGTTTCATTAATGGTGCTTCATGACAGTGTTATAAGTAGAATAATTGCCTGTCACTTTAGTTTAAAGCCTCTATAAGTCAATGTCATTTTTTCATAAAACATCTTATATGGTGATTGCTGGCATAAGCTGTTCTTAAATACTAAATATTGCTAAATAATATGCTATACAATGCTTATATGTGTTATGAAGTCCTTTTGTAGGAAGCCTGTAAATAAACTTAAAAAAAAAAGTTTGAATGGGCAGTAGGCTGGATCTAGTGTTTGTCCACTGATATATTCATACAGTGACCCCTTGTGGTTGCATAGTGAAGTGGTGTTTGGTCAGCTTACTCCATCATTGCCTTAATGCTGGTATGTGCATTGGAAACCATGAACCGTAATTCAGCCTAAGTTTATTATGCATTCAGTTCCGACCAGCCTGAAGGTGTTTTTCTTTTATGCAGGCCTTTGCTATTCCGGGACAGTTCGCCATTCCACCTCAAGACGTGAGTGCCAATGCTACTGCCTTATCAGAGCTGTTGGTCATTTCTTTCATACGGTCACTACCTCACTCCCTCCAGCCACCTCCTGCCCTCTCCACCACCACCACCACCACCACCAGCACACCTCCCCCATTGCATCCCATCACACATCTCAATGCCCTTCTCCTTAAAACACAAGCACTGGAGTCAATACTAATACAGCAGCTTTGACTGTGAACACATACATCCGTTGTTGGTTTCTCATCCAGGACCATTCATTGCATTTGAATGACTAATGCCTAGTGTTTACTAACACCTTTTCCTCCTTTGTTTCTTCATACCCCTTCCTGAATGTATCACAAACAAATGTGTTCATAGAATCAGATATGAGAACTGTCATTATGTCAGCTTTTTCTGGGGTGAGTGCTAACGATCCCCGATAACTGATCTAATTGTGAGCCTAAAAGATTGTCTGTAGATGTCAGTTTTCCTCTGAAATAATTCCATTTGATTGGCTAGTTCTAACCTCCCTTCCTGCCCCGCAGTTGACCAAGCTTCACCAGTTGGCTATGCAGCATATCCCCCTTACCTCCCTTGGGCAGAGCAACCCTACCTTCCCTGGTACGTACCCAAAAACTCCCCAGGGAAGTCTGTCTCTACCCTCCATCGCTCTGTCTGTCTTGTCTACATCTTTGTGTCTGTCTCTATCGCTCTTGCTCTCTCTCTGTCCATCACTCTCTCTCTCTCTATCTCTCTCTCCCAATTTCCTTTCTTTCCTGTCCTCTCTCTCTCCTCATGTGTTCACCATCACTGAGTTCTACTTATGCACTCTGAGGAAAGGGAAGGAAAATCAATGTCATGGTAAGGCAACCGAAGTCATAATACTGTATGTGTCAGAAAGCCTACCTTATGCTGCGTGCGTTGCGCTCTGACACTGGCTGACAGCTCAGGTGACTTTATGCTCATTGTCATCTGTCGCGAGGAGTTACGGCCGTGTCGTATCAGGTGAATGACAGCATCGTGGGGGCTTTGTGATGTATATGTGCCACCTCATATGTTAACTCAGCATAAAGACTGATATTCCACCTTACCCAGCCTTTCGTTCGTTCATTCGTTATTTTTGTTTTTTTTTTAATCTCCTCCCGTGTTACTCCATGCGCACCTCCGCACCACCCCTAACCTGTTCAGTTCCACCAGCATGCCCTCCAGCCCACAGCCCTGTCACTGCACTGCACACATTCTCACACACACATTGCAGCAGGCCAAGCACGATCATCGCTATGGAGAAAGGCACTGCACTGTGACAGGCTGTCACCGAGTAGTTGTTTGAGATGGTATGCTTTTTTTTTTGTGAAGGCGTTTTAATTCAGTGCAATCACAATTTAATCAGAACTCATTCACGACTTATCTAGCCTAGCCCTTTGTATATTGAATCATTTGGGGCTTATTGATTCAGTTTATTTTAAATAGTTTTACTGGTGGAGTAGTGATCTTGAAAATTTCTTGTACTCTGCATTCAGGCAGCTGATAGCCTTGATCAATGTCATGTTGAGTTGTTCCCCCTCTATCTTCCTGCATAGGTCTGGATGTGTCTGTTGCAACAAGTTCTCATGAGCTGACCATACCGAATGATGTAAGTCCTCTTGCAGTACATGCGATACATAAAATGCATGCATTTATGTTTAAACTTAACGTGACTGTCGGTATTCATGGCAGTTCACGTTGCATTAATGACCCCAGTGACATGTTAGAAACTGGCGGCGCTTCAGCTCCCGCCTTTGTCTGTTTTCACTGCTGCTGTCATCTCTGTCAGTGCACCTTTCATCACTCATTTGAAATTAGCAAATGCTGTCATTGACACTGTAGCACAGCAGTGACAGTGGCGAGGCCATAATATAGGGAGAGTGATTGTATTCAACAAAGGCACGACTTTTACATTTTCTAACTCTGTTTCTGTAGAACCTATAAGGATATTCTGTTTCTCTTTAATTAAGATCACATCTGAGGCAGATCTGGTTAGAATTGCAGCTTGCCCACTAAATCATACAGATGCTGTCTGCTGCTCACCCTGTCATCTCCTCTCAGCTCATAGGCTGCATTATTGGCAGACAGGGCACCAAGATCAATGAGATTCGCCAGATGTCTGGAGCCCAGATCAAGATAGCTGGGGCCACAGATGGTTCGGCTGTGCGCCACGTCACCATCAGCGGCTCCCCGGCCAGCATCAGCCTGGCCCAGTACCTCATCAGTGCCAGGTAAGAGATCCCCTCGACAGGCCAAATGCAACCCTGTGACTTTTACACATGTAACTAGTATAATGGGCCAGACTTAGCATAACAGAGTTTCATGCTGTGTCCTTTTTGTTTAATCCCACCCATTGTTGGCACTCCTCAGCTTTATTAATACTCATCAAGGCATGGGAAACCCTTTTTAATGGTTTGTTCCTTGTAACACGTAACATTTCCCTTTTATTGATTCTTCTGTTTTTTGTTTTATTTCTCTCACCCTTTTCTTGTGCTCCCTCTAACTACTCTATTAACCAAACCCCCCCTCACTTCCCTTCCCTGTGGTGTTGGTGTATGTGTGTATCTGTGTTTGTGAGTGTGTTTGCAGTTTAGAGATGGCTAAACTCAGCATCCAGGCCGCCTCCTCCTCCTCTTCCGGCAACCCCGTCGACCTCAGCCTGAGTTTCCCCCAGTCTGCCTCTCCCGTCTCCGCCTCTACCCCTTCCTCCGTGGCCATGCTGGCTGCTCCTCCCTCTGCCATTAACGTCCACTCCCCTCAGGCCGTGCCCACCATCCCCAACGCCCACTACGCCCTCCCGGTCTCCAGTCTGCTTGGCATGAAAACCGTGCCCCTGCTGGCCGTGCACACCGCTGCCTCGGGCCTCGCCCCCTACACTGCAAAGATCCCAACCTCGGCCACCATCAAAAAATCAGAGCGCCAGAAGTTCGCCCCCTACTGACCAGACTCGGCAGCCTTTTAATCTCTCACTCTCATCTGTGCTATGTGTGCTGTTTGTGTTTTGCATCTCTGAAGACTTTGAAGGTTGAGTCTTTTTTCTTTTTTCCCTTTTCGCCCTCTTTTTTTTGGTGCATCTTCATGCAGTATTATGCAAACGGATAGTGACAGAGTGACAAGATGAATTGCTCCTCAAATCATCCTCCATTTTCTTTGGCATCTCATTCGGAAATGTTTGAGATAGCAATCTCAAGCCATATATTTTAAATGACACTCCATTCTTTTCCCTTTTCAAACCGCAGCCCATGAGACTATGTAGTATTGTATTTGAAATCTCACTCAAGTTCTTTATTTCCTTATTACGACCTCTGTCAAGTACATGCATATATGTGTTAATTACAGTATTAGAGAATGCACTGCTCTAATCTTCATTTTGTCTGGAGTTTCTCTGAATTAGTCACTTTTGAGTCATATTTTGCTAATTATGTCTCTCGTGCTTGTTTTCATCTTTCATCTTTATGGCATTAAAGCAGGGAAATGGAATTTGCTGTAGTTCTTGCTTGGAACAAAAAACACAAATCTTGGCATAAACGTTACACTAACTAGTCATCCTGCAGTGCTGTGGTACAAAATGCATTAAGGGTCACACTAACATGAGTAAACAGTGTATGGGAGTCATAGCACCATGTATGCAAATGACATTGTGTTTGAGGTCTGGATATGGGAGTCTTTTTAGTTTTTTTCCATTTACTGGTGTGAACCATTTAACTGTGTAATAAAACAGGCACGTTATACTGCACTGGCGGAGGAGGAGTGGAATGACTGTTCTGAACTGTGGCAGCGTGTTACTGTCCTGTGGAGCTGATGGTGTGCTTCTCTCCTAGGCTGTCTGCAGCGCTAGCTGGCCTGGGGCCTCCTTAGCCATGCAGCCTCTCATTAAAACTCTGACTGGATTACCCCAAAGCCATATGGGATTCTTAAGAACTCAGTGTTGTTCAGGAGAGCCAGGCTACGCAAATGATATGCAAATTCACTAAATCTTTCGCGAAACTTTTTAACAACAAAATTTGTTAAATGAAGTGTTGTAACTACAGTGTTGACCTGTTTGATGGATTTTTAATTCATTATTTTATGTCCATTTGGTATAAGAAATGTGCTTGTGTTTGTTCTTTTAGACTGTTTTTGAAGTCACGGTTGTCTTTTTGTTGTATGATAAATGTTCTTTGGCTCCTAAATGTAGAACATACCACATATTCTTGAATTAAATTGTGGCAGCTTTTTATTAGAACACAGTGTCCTTTGGGTTTGTTATTGAAAACCTATTTTTAACTCCTGAAAAAGATTTATGAACAATTCATTATGAATATAATCAGTAATTGTATAGCTTAGCAATATTGCACATCTTAGGTTTCATATATTCCGAGAGTTCTACAGTACGGGTAATGGCTTCTGCTGATGCTGCAGTTGCATTTCTGCATTACGGTAGCCCTTTTCAATAATACATGGAGTGCTAAAGTATGAGTTATTTTGGTTGAAGGAAGCTTGTGCTTTGAGGAATCAAAGCTTGAGGAGTAGGCCAGCACACTCCTATGGGAGAATTTGTATGAGTGCACAGTAACAATGATTCAAAAACAATTGCATTTATACAAAAAAATGTCTCTCTGTTGATTTACAGTTTGTAATTAGCTGTGAGCAGCAGCAAATTTTTGATATGCTGCAGAAAATTTGTCTAATTCAGTTTCATGAGGGAATTCAACCCTGGGATAAATAGCATTCATCCACTTGTCCTCAGTATTCATTTATTTCGTGCATCCTGACTACTTACCCCTGCACAAAACACAAAACAGAATGCATAATGATAAGCGCTCCGACACTGAAAGAAATGTTCACAGTTTAAACAGCATTCAAAGCGATTAAGACTTTCAGTATTTTCCAATCCAATTATAGTGTTTAGAAATGACTGTAGAGTTCTTGCATCATTCAAATACAGTGCAGTGTGTTTTATGGATGGCCTTTCTTTAAAGGCCTTTTGACAAATTTCCTCTGCCCTGTCAGGGATGAACTTCACTTCACCTCCTCCCCTACCTGAAGACGTGAAGCAGCAGCCTTTTCACAGGTCCTGCATGAACAGATTTCTTCGACGGTTGCTCATTCGGGCATATGCTCTGGGCTGAACATTACCGCACTGTCACTCACTGACTTTAGGCCCCTTGTCCTCATCTCAACGAGAAGCGACCCCATTCAACATTGATGAAACAACTTCGGCTTTGAGCTATATACGCGCACACACATTCGCAGCCAAGTAGCCAGGACACAACCCTAACCCAGAGTGCTGCTATTTCGGAATCACGCCTGCATGCTAAATGCAAAGCCTGAACATTGTTGGACTGGATCAATAGCTCTAATAGGCGTGTGTTGGAAGAAGAGCGGCTATTCCCTTTGAGAGGGTGCAGCCAGAGCCAACAGCCGGAGCTCCAGTGGAATGTTGTGGGCATCTCGGCCTACCTTTTTTTTTGTTAATGCTGAATTAATGATTTTCCCCTCTCACCCCATCAAAGCGGCCCTGATGGAAATGTCTGCGTCCGACTCTGAATAATCAATTATATTAATGCAGGCCTGTGCTAGATATGAAGAGCGTTTCTTTAAAGGATGTAATCACCTCGCCCCAGGCTTGGCAGCCTTACTGTGTGAAAGAGCGGGTGACGTCCAGCTTCACCATAGCACACTGTTCGTAGGCATTCACAACTCCAGACACATACCCTCTCTCTAGTGTTAAAAATCAACAGATGCTATCTATAGCACCACAATCAGGGGATTGTCAAGGCATTTTTTCCCCAGCAAATATATTCATAGTTGATTTTGTGCATCTGATCCCATGTTTTTGGCTCAGTGTGCTGCCTTTTCATGCCACTGGTGCTGGAAAACATCCATTCTCTTCTTCGGTGTATACCTGACATTTTTTTTACATTTGCATTTTGTTTGTCTGTGAACAGTTTTGTAGAGGCAAGTCTTAATCAAATTCACAACAAAAACAGATTTTCATTCAAAACAAAACTTTCATGCCATTATTCTTTTTTCAATAATATAGAGCCTAATGGCAGAATGCAGGAACAGCAGCTGTAACTCTTTCATTCTAGCAGGTGGCAGCGAGATGGCAGAGCTACTCCTCATAAATCTACCACTTTTTTACTGCCTAGTGGGAGGTGTTGGTGTTTATATCAAATCAGTGTGATCCTGTGTTCATCATCGCTTTCAGAAAGAAGATCTTCACTTGCATTTTGTTTATCTCAGAACACTTTCATAGATTCAGGTGTGAAATACAGCCTTCTTAATTTAATAAATACTGAGACAACAAAAAAGTTCACAACAGGTTCCCACTCAAAATAAAACTTTCATTCAAAACTAAAATCTTTCATTCAAAGAATATCTGAGTAACTTTCATGCCTCAACTCCATCCAAGCTCCTTCATTATTAGAGCCTAATGACAGTGTTCTAGAGTATGGAAGCATGTTTCTGCCATTTGGGGAAAAGACCATGTGGTATGTCATAATAACGAGAGAGTTTCTCACAATCATGTCTTACTATTGCATAATTATGACTTATCATGTCAAATCAATGATTTAATGTCTCATAAAAAAAGTTTCCCAAAATTATAACTTAAGCTTTCATAATAATGGCTTACTATCTTATAATAATTAGAAACTTTTCTCATACACATTTTTTAAAAAAATAGGCTTCTAGGGTTCTTTAGTAAAATGGTTCTATATAGGACACTCAAAGAACCCTTTGCATGATTAAAGGGTTCTTTGTATCGTGAAAGTGTTCCTCAGATTAATGAAAAATGTGTTGTGGATGGTTCTATATAGAACCCTTTTTAAAAAGGGTTCCATTATTGTTACAAGCCAAAGAACCATTTTTTTGTACTATATAGGACCCTTTTTGCTAAGAGTAATAGTAAGGTGCTAAGTCATTATTATGAGTAATACTTATGTGATGCTTTGTGAGAAAATCTTAATTATGAGATGCTAAGCTGACTATAAGAGCTGAATATAAGGACTGTGAGCATACACACACACACACACACACACACACACACACATATACACACATCAAGAACTGTGGTGTACACATATACACACAAAGGATTATGACATATATATGTATATATGCACACAGCCACTTAGGCTTTCAGAGACTGTTATTTATTCCTATTCATAACATCCAACCCTCAGTAAATATGTAACTGTAGCTATGTACCTTTGAATGTAAATTGATTTCGTAGTTTTGCAGTGTCACTTTAAGTGTATGCTGCTATTACTGCTGTTTGTAATTAAGTTTATTTTATTATTTCTGCTCTTGTGATCTCTATAGGAGTGATGCCATGGGAAGTTTGACTGTACCTGAGTATAATGACAATAGAGATTCTATTCAATTCTATTTGAATTATCACAATTATGAGATATTAAGTAATTATTATGAGACAGCACATCATTTTGAGATACTAAGTCATAATTATGACAATTATGAGATGCTATATCATAATTATGAGATACTAGATCATAATTATGGGAAATTTTCTCAGTACTGTGGGTTACTAAATGGCTATATTTGTTTTCAGCAGCAGAAACAGGCTTCCATACTAGAATGACTTCTGTACATTCTTTAATTCTGGCAGGTGGCAGTGAGAAGCTAGAGCTATTCCTCATAGATCTACCACGTCCCTCCTGTCTGGTGGGAGGTGTTGGTGTTTGTATTAAATCACTGCATGTTCTAGGTTCATCATCACTTTTAGAAAGAAGATCTTCACTTGCATTTGCATTTTGTTTATCTCAGATTCTTAAATTTAGAACTAAAACAACACCATACATGTATAATTTTAGAAACAGGCTTTAATTCAAAACGAAACTTTATCTGCCATTTAAAAAACATTTAGATACTGTCCATGCCATTATTCTATCTAAATTCCTTCAGCATTGTAAAGAATGACTTCTGTAAACTCTTTAATTCTAGGAGATGGCAGTCAGATGGTAGAGAATTCCTCATAAATACCACTTCTTTCCTGTTTGGTAGGAGGTGTTAGTGTTCATATCAAATGAGTAGGTGTTCTTAGTTCATCCAGGGGCACTTTAACCTGTTTGTGGCCCCTGGGGCTACAGGCGGTCGAGGGCCCTATGGGTCTAGTTTCACACAGCGTCCAAAAATCTAAACCTTTATTTTTAATTAAGATGCACACACCGCCACCAGTCAGTGACGTCCAGTACTGCCATTCACCATCTTTCCGTTACTGCACAAACTTAAACAAAACTGAAGCTTCTTATCTGACAGGTTCTTTCTTGGATTTTCCGTTCCACCTTAAACGGTGCCACTGTTGCCTTCCGGCACGTGTGAATGCTGCACTATTTAAGGTGAAAAGAAAATGTTGAACAAGAAGCCAGCAAATAAGATGTCAGTTTCAGCCTCACCAAACTTAAACCCAGAACCAAACCACTAAAAGCCATAGTCAGTCAAGGTTTGACATTTGCAGTGAGTTTGAGATGAACTTCAACTTGAGCTCATATGTGCTCCGTTTAATCTGTTGCATGATGCTCCTCCAGCAGTGTGTGGTACAGTTTACTTGGCAAAACCATCTACATCACCAAAATGACTGTGGTCTACAACGAGCTAAAGTTTCATCTAGTGGCGTATGCAGAAATAAATTATTGGGTAGGCTTGCGAAAAAGTGGGTTAGAATTTAATTAATTAGAATTTTCAAATGCGCAGACCCAAAGAAGGGGACATGATAAAATCAGACCATGAGATGTGTAATGATGTGAAAAAACAACACAGCAGACTTAAACCTAATCATTACAGGTAAAACATGCAGTCACGGCCGGCATGAAAAATGTTTATGGTCCAGTCATGTCTTACCTTTGATGCATTTAGTGTACCTGAATATAATGACAACAAACATTCTATTCTATTTGATTCTATTCAAATGATCATAAAGTCCTAATTATGAGATATTAAGTAATTACTATGAGATAGCATGCCATCATTTTGAGAGGTAAAGCATGCAGTAAAAAATGTTTATGGTCAATTCATATCTTACCTTTGATGCATGTTATACATTTGCTTTTACATTAATCCATTTCTGTCTTTGAAATAAACAACATTGTAATCACAAAATTGACAGGAAACTGACAACGACGATGGAAACTGACACAGTCTTTGGGACGGAATCTCACTTTTACACATACTGTTACATCTTTCAACTGCAGCTGGAGCTTCAAATTCAAACACTGGCGCACTGATAACAAACTGAACTTGAGGAAATAGGCCCTTTTACATTTTTATTTTTTTCTACCAGAAGTACTCATTGCACTCATACACTGCTTCCGCTAAAAGAACAACAATAACAACGAAGGCTGGGTCCAAGAATAAGAGAATGTACAGTTTACCCATCTGCCTGAGCTTGAAATACCTCAGTTTCAATGGCTTCTCTACTGACAATGAGCAGAGATAAATGGGTTTGTGCCTGGATGAAGAAATAAACTTGCCATACATGTACAGTGGCATTATTGACTATATACCTGCTGGTATGTGTGTGTGTTTACCTTTTTGGCAACTAGTTTATTATTAGCAGGCTCTTCCAACATCTCCGGCTAACGTGGCTAATTTAGCTTTTTGGTTATAGTCATTTTCACCTATCCATTGTTTTACCACTTTATAGATGTTAGCTCACGTTAGCGTACTCTGATAGCTGTGAATGAATTCCTCTATGAAGAAAGTATAACCTTTATTCAGCTTGGACTCCCACATTATTGTGTGTTTGGTGTTCTTCAACAATTCTGGACACATCCTTAAATGTCAATCTTGGCAACTATGGTGAGCCGAAGTGATAAGAACGGCAATATTTCTGAAGTTAATTATCGTCTGTAAGACAACAGTGTAATTTGTGTAACCTGGCATTTGTGTACTTCCGTTTCTTGTGAAAAGGGCCTATGGTGGACAGCAATGGCTGCTGTGCAGTGATTGGAAGACTGAGAAAATAAGGCAGATCTTTGTGGCGAGCGCAATTATTTGATTGGTCACAGTGACAACACTCACAAAATCAGAAGCCCTGAATTACTTGGGACCCGTGGGCTTCAGCCAAAGTAAGTCAGTGCCTTAAATTGCCCTTCAGTTCATCAACACTTAGGGAAGGAGATGGCAGCTTCTTAAAAGAGTTTAATGCCTCCAAACGCATCTTCACAGAATTTTTTATTACATAAAATGGTTACAAATACACTACCAGATGTCTGAGACATTGGTTTACAATAATTTTGAAATAAGTTTGGTTTAAAACACATTTTTAAAAAACATTCAGAGGTGCATTCATGGCACTGTGGGGCAAAATAGCCCCCAAAAGAAAATGCATTTTTTCAGATTGACCACTATTTTAATATTATCAACATTACATTACTAAAAATTCAGAAAACACCTGCAGGTTCAGTGATTGTTTTGGATAAAATGGCTATTTTTGTGTTGCAATCCCTGGTTCCTATCACCACCACTGTAAAGAAATCCAAATCTGTAAGTTTCTCTAGAATGCACCATTTCATAACAAACCACTCAGAATGACTCAACTATTCAGAGATTTTGAACAATCAGTGGAATTTTGTTGCTGAAAGAAATAAGTCAATGAAAATTCAGATTTACTCAGTTTTCCTCTTACCCCAAACGCAGGTGATCAGCCAAGACATGTTTGGTGTCTAAAATTTTCTTCTTCAGTTTTGCAAAGAAGCTACAAGGTTAATGTAGCTAACGAGTAAAGGAAGCTTATGTACACCAGTTAGCATCATGTCTATTTAGTACTATGTCATAGGCATCAACTACATTGGAGGAATGAGAAAACAAAATCAGTAAATTTGATATTCCATCACACTATTGCTTTAAATGATACATTCCACCTATTTCGCAACAACGTCTGCATAATTTAGGTATTAAGACATAAGTCATTCAAAGTGGTTTGCTATGAAATGCTCTGTTCTAGAGAAACATACAGACTCAGAATTGTTCACAACAGTTTTGAGGGCAACCAGAAGTTTGAAGAGATTAATGCTATCTATGCTATCTAGACTTAAAACTATCTGACGAAAGCTACCAAAGAAAGCTACTGGTTGACAATATGTTGCCTGATGTCTGAGACATTGTTTTACAATAGTTTTGCTATAATACTGGCCTAAAATGTATTGTAGTACACAAGTGGTGGTTACAATCAATATAAAATGTATGTATTCAGGGCAGAGAGGTATGTGAAGGGCATTGTAAAGCAAAATAACACACAAAGCAAGTTTTTTTTTTACATGGCACTGCTTTACCATTATCAGGATTTCATAAAAAACTCAGAAGACCAGTATATTCCTCAGAAAAAAAGTGCTAAACTGTACAAGCGTGATACGCCTCATGTCTTAAGTACCTTTAGTCTCCAGTACCTTCATTTAAGGAACATTATGGTCCCATAATCCATTGCTATTATATTTTTGAAGCTGTACTGACATACCCTGTCTTGTCTCCAGGTTTTTGATTTTATTGCTCTGTTTCAAAATAGCAGCTCATAAAAAGGGACAAATACATAACTCTCCTTTAGTAAAAAAAATATTTAAGGTACACAGCTGGACACTAAAACCATTGCTGTACCTTTTTGAGGGTACATTTACCTTGGTTATACCTTGACGAATGAAAAATGTACCTGCATAGTACCTTTATTCTGACAGTATAGGTTCGCTGGTGGTTTCAGATAGTAAATAAAATGGCTACATTTGTGTTGTAGACATTGTGACCCCTGGTTCCTATGAAGACTCTAAAGAAAACAGAGTGGGTAGGTTTCTCTACAATAAACCACTTCACATCAAACCACTCTGAATGACTCGATTAACATCTCAGAGATTCAATTATGCAAAAAAGAAAATCTGTGGAAAATCGAGTAAATCCTCTTTAAAGTCAAGGTGAATCAGAAATCAGAATGTAAGTTCTGTCCCTGCTCTGATGAATTTCTAAGTGAAACACAGTGTCAAGGAGGGCCTTTGAGCTCACTGAGCATTTCGGGTGATAGGTGGGGGTGGGAGGGGGATGGTGAAACGTGATGTAATTGGTTAATATTATTTTTCCCCACATGCTGGTGCATGGTGACATCAATAAACAGAACATGTTTTAGGAACAAAAGTCACTGTGATCAAAAAGATTATGGAAAAATTTCTACGGAATGGTATGCTATGATGAATTGTGCTTAAAGGGGAATTCCACCAATTTACCAAATGTCTGCACAGTCCAGTCAGAGTGGTTTGATGTGAAATTCTCCATTCTAGAGAAACATACAGAGTCAGAATTGTTCACAGTGGTGGTGATAAGAACCAGGCATCTGAAATGTTTAATGCCTCTAAAAGCTAAATTACAGAAAGCTATTACATTGAAATGGTTATAAATATGCTGCCTGATGGTAGAAACATTGTTTTGCAATATTAGGTTTTGTCATAATTATTTTTAAAAATACATCGGAGAGGTAGCCTACATGCAGGATGTTGCAAGACAAAGTAGTACCCAAAGAAAACATTTGCCTCGTAGACATGGAGACCCCTTCCTATTACCAGAAAAGAGTTGGTAAGTTTCTCTACATCTCTCTCCATTTCACATTAAAACACTCTGAATGACTGTTTACATGCCAGCGTGACTGATCTGACTGAATCATGCAGAAATTTTGGAAAATTGGTGGAATCCCCCTTTAATATGACCAGGCACATGAGGTTCCTACCACCCCTGGTTCCTGTCGCCACCATTGTAAAGAAATTACGGTTGGTAAGTTTCTCTACAATGAGCCATTTCACATCAAACCACTCTGAATGACTGTACATGTCAACCTGACAGAATCAGGGAGATATTTTGGAAAATCGGTGGAGTCCCCCTTTAATATGACCAGGTACATGAGGAAAAAAAGGTAATTTATCAGGATGACTTCAAAGGACTGAACAGGAGGAGGATGTGCACTCCATCTGGAGATGATCGGTGTTTCACCCTCCAGTGGACTTCACAGTTCTTCAGTTTCACCTGCTCTCCAGTTCCTCACTGAGAGTCCTTATGTACAGGTTGTGTCAAAGAGCGAACTACTCCAAGTTTCCGCACTTCCAGTTGAGATAAGACACTACGCCCCCTGGTGGTCGTTAACGTCTCACGCTGATGCTTCTTTCCTCCAACTCCCCGCTATGTGACGTCACCGTGCTGAGGTTTTTCTGGCACCGAAGCAAAAGTGAGCGCTTTCGGCCACCCGGCCACTCCTCTCAGCTCAGCTCGGCTCGGCTCGGCAGGGCAGCGGTGGGCAGCCTACGCGGCTGGGAGGTTATGGGGAGCCTTCGCAAGCACCTGATCTCCGGAGTGTGCGTCTGAGCCTCGCCTCTCTGCTTTCAGCTGGGCGGTCTTGAGGAAAGAAGAACTTTGAGAGCTCGGCAGAAACGCGCAGGTACGGCTGTGAGATCCAGATGTCGTGGTGATGCGGGGTCTGCTCGAGAATTTTAACGCGTTTCTTAAAGACATAATAAAGTTGGACGTATGTTGGAGGCTGCTTAAGTAACAGAAGCAGATCGAGTAGGAATCGCCGGGACTGTGAAAAGCGAGGATTGCATTGATGTCGCTGATATCTGCGGTTAAGCGCTTTAGTTTCGACAAAGTCTTGGTGTTTTTGCTCGCCCACTGACTGAAGGCTGAATAAAGATGCGGATGAAACAGCCCTGTGTGCTCGCAGAGGAGCCCAGCATCAGTAACTAGCGCTCTGTTGCTCTGTGCATGTAAAGTCTACTGGCAAGCTCCCCAAAGTGTATTGGCAGGTTGATTTAAATGCGTTTTTCAGTGCTAGAGTCTGTCAATGTGATACTGTGATAATGATATGAGCGTATCGCTTTGTGCTGAAGACGCTGTTCCTGCTGCTCTGATGTGCTGAAGTGCTCAGGCGATGCTCTGAAGCCTCTCTGCACCTGTATCTCTCTGCTGCATCAACAGGCTCTATAGAAGTATTTTAATTCTTTCATTTATCCTATATACGTTACTTTCATTAAGATCTGAATGTAATGCATGAATGTATGAATATTAAACACCTCTCCATCAGTTGATGAGCCATCTATTCCACCTTCAAGAAATCACAATTTCTTTCTCTTTTTTTTTCTTTTCTTTTTGGGCCACTTTTGGCTGGGCTTGATCCATCCAGATCCATTTCTCGATTAACCTCTGTGCTCATCATTTAACCGATTTTAATTTAATGGATTGACTGTGCATGACTGACCAGGGAAGAGGGGAGATAATTGGTGCGAGGGTTTGAGGCACTGATGATTCGACCCTCAATCCTTGAAGCAATTTGCCTTTGTGTCCATCACTGATGTGTAGAGGTGTGACTGGAAGATTGCTGTCTGTATTGCTTTCGTCATGTGTGACTGCACCCGATGCAGTGGGGTTTCACACATTTCGAGCTGCTCCCAACTTGTGTGTGCCTACAGAAAAGGAAATGGGCAGAAACAACCCTAGGTAGCACAAGAACAATCATCCCGAAGTGGACAGTAAAATCAATGAGAGGTGTTTTTGAATGTGGACACTATATTACGCCGGGAGTGCTCTTTGAAGTTTGGTAATGCTTCAGTCTTTATGCATTTACTGTGTTATTGATTTTGGCCAAATGTTTTTGCTGGTCTTGCTGAATAGTGCCGTAGCAGACCTGTTGGAATTCCATTAGCGTAGGCACTGTCCACCGTGCTTGATCGCTTCATGTTTCATTTTGAATGATTGTTGTAAAATGGAGACTAGCTGAAGTCTTTATCTTGCTGCAGATGGGCCCGGCCGTTACTTGTCGTGTGAGGAGTGTTATGTGAGTCCAGGTGTCATCCCACCCGTGCAGGTGGTGGGGAGGAGAGATGCTGCGCTCCATTGCCATGACAACAGGACTTATCTTTATAACCTGGCTCCTGCTGACGAGTTCATGGGGCAGTCCCATCGTGCCGGTGCCCGAGGCTGGCGAGAGGGAGCGTCTGGAGCGGGTCCTGACCCACGCCAAGGAGGGCATGCTGAACCCCAGCGCCCAGCAGCGCCTCGAGGAGATCAATAATCTGGGACTGGACGGGATGAGAGGAGGCAACAGGACCAGTGGCGGCAAAGTGAGGCCCAGCTGGAGCCCCCTGCGGCGAGGAGCCAAACCTCAGGGAAAGACACAGGAGGTCTGGGGTGAGCAGGACTCAATGAAGCAGACCGATGAAGGCCCCACAGGAGAGGCCAACGCCTCGCTGGACGCTATCGACGAGTACGCGTACCCTGATTACAGGGGTAAGGGCTGCATGGACGAGACAGGGTTTGTGTTCGCGATTGGGGAAAAGTTCACCCCAGGACCCTCCACATGCCCCTGCCTCTGCACAGACGAGGGACCCCTGTGTGACCAGCCTGAGTGTCCGAAGGTCCATCCACGCTGCCTGCGCGTGGACACCAGCCAGTGCTGTCCACAGTGTAAGGAGAAGAAGAACTACTGTGAATTCCGAGGAAAGACGTACGCCTCGCTGGAGGAGTTTAAGGTCAGGCCATAATAACTGCTATAATAATTATGTATTTTTCAGACATTTTATAGATATTTAGACCTGTTGTTTACAACATCACCCATTATTTCTGACGATATTTGCATTCCATGAGGAAAAAATAAAGGTGCCAAAAAGGGCTCTTTGGATTGCTGCCATGGAAGAGTCACTTTTAGTGTCGTAAAGAACTATTCAAATGTGAACTACTGCAAATATGAACCTTTTTAAAAGTGCAAAAGGGCCTCAGTATAATGCCAAAATATATATAATTTTCCCCAGGAAACTTATAACTATTTAAGAACCTTAATTTTTGAGAGTGTAGAGTAAAAAGTCTATCTGTCATTATTGTTAGTGATGTATATTAGAGATGGCGATATGGCAAAAATCACCTTACTTCAGGATTTTTTCACAGTACACAATATGTCACGATTTTTTATTTTTTCTGACATCTGATAAGGTGAAATAAGCAAAGTAATCCCACATTTTAAAAAATATGATCAAAGAATATGAATATAATGATTTGTAGTGAACATTTCACATACTGCGCTGAACTAAATACAATTAACCAGCCTAATTATTTTCTCTCTGTAATCAAACATGCAGTTGGGAGGTGTTTTTCAGTACTGATGATATCCATGATATGCTCAGAAAAGCATATTCTGGCATAACTTATCACAATAACATAATTATTGTCATGTTGCCCAGCCCTACTATATATTATAGAGCAATATTGTATATCATGACATATTATTCATATACAATTGTTATGTATCTCTACCATTAGCCTGTGGTTTTATTTTATGGCAGAAAAAAAAAATGTCAGTTGGAATTGCCATTCACTGTGGACCTCTGTTCCCTTAGCCTCTGTTCATCACATAGTTGAATTGAATTTTTGTGCTCTAGTGGACTCTTCTGTCAAGTCGAAATAATCTAATATGTTCACATCATATCTTGATTCTGTATTGATTGCAGTAGAGCAAAAAAATGAGTTCACATTCGTATTTTTTTTCTTTTTTTTTGCTCTTGCCTTTCTTGGCCCCGGTCTCAATCACAGGATCCATGATAGTTTCTGAGCCTGTTCCCCTCCACTGGGAGTAGCACCGTAGTGAGACATCCTCATTGTTTTGCTTGGTGTTGTGTGATCTAAAGGTGCTCATTCTGTGATCCTGAGCTGCTGCTTACATGCAAATAACACCCTTTTTTGGTGCTGATTCCTAGAAATGTTTGTCCAAAGCAAGAGCCATTTAAAGGGCCCATATAAAGGAAAAGCAAATTTTTCTTACTTTTTAGAGATGAAAGAGTTTGATGTTTTATGTAAATATTAAAATGTACCAATCATTCTACAGTCCATGTATGTAAACTAAGTTGCAACAACAGCCTGTTTTGAATTCACTGTTTCTTGTGATGTCACAAAAAAACAACAGCTTTACATATATCTGCCCATTCAGCCTGCAGCAGGTTAGCCCCTCCCACTGATGCTGAAGTTATAAGGAATGTTTCAGCCCAGACTGCTTTTTCAAAGGCGTGCAAATGAGGTAACTAATCAGAACAGCACTTCTTTGCATATATCAGTCTTAAAGGCGCAGGAGCAAACAGCCTGTTTCTCAGCCTCAACCTCGATTACAGGATCCGTGATAGTTTCTGAGCCTCTGCCCCTCCACTGGGAGTAGCCCCACAATGATATATCCTCATTGTTTTGTTTGGCGTTGTGTGATCTAAAGGTGCTTGTGCTGTGATGCTGAGCTGCTGCTTAGATGCAAATGACACCCATTTTTGGTGTTGATCATGATGACGCTCCTTGATTAGTTGCAAGCCTCCTTCCGATGCTCAACTTGTCATCCGCCGACAAGCAGCAGCAGGTTTACAAATAATTCTTTTTGAACTGTGGCTCTCACCATACGGCACTGCTGGAGAGCTATTTGTTGTTTTTACCTATTGTAATTCCGCTGCTTATTTTTGTGCTTCTGTTTTGCATGCATGTCTCCGCTTTCTGTTTGTCATTGGAGACCTCCACACCACCACAGCTCTGCGGCAAGCGGAGACATTTATTATCGCCAAAGTCAGCATTAGCGCTATTTACTAAGAGTGGTAATGACTAGAGGCTGGATTTAGTGTTCCCGCTCAGCTGAACCTATTGCATATGCAGAAGGCAACCTTAACAATTACAGTCTTGGCAGCGTTTACTAAGTCCAGCATAATATCTGTTTAGACCCTGCAGGCCTGCCTTCTGTAGAAAGCAGGTTGGGCAGGGTGAGTGGTTTATGGCTGGAGAGGTTGTGATGATAACTGTTCACACCTCTATACCTATTTATGAAGTTTCCATCAATAAATGAAAGCCCAGACTCGTTGTCAGTTCTTGTCTAAATGTTCCAATGAATAAATGTTGTTTGTTTAGGCAGAAATGGAGTGGCATTCTGTGCTCTGTTCTGAGAGATAGTCTCTTGAGAGCTCTCACGGCAGGATACTGCAAGAATTCAGTTATTTTTTTCACGAATGCTGCGAGCTTACGAGCCTCGTGTGTTTTGCGCCCGGAGACCAAGAGGAGGCAGTGAGCGTAACCTTACAGTATGCGTGCTCACTGCTTTCTGGGGCATTAAGTCGCGGCACTGTGCCACACGAACGCATCAGCAAACCTCTGCATGGAGCCGGATTTGCCATGCAGGCAGAATTAGGTTCTTTGTCATGGACGACCGTTCGCAAGGCAACTGGCAAAGGTGTATATACACTCTTAAAAAGGTGCCAAAAAAGGTTATCTTGAACAATACAGTAGAAGAACCACTTCTAACTCCCTAAACAACCTTTGAATGAACCAATCATGTAGTTGACATGTAAGACTGAGGAACCTTTGTTTAAGAACCTCCACATAATGTAAAGATTCTATACAAATTAAAGGTTCTTTCTAGAAACGTACACCCAGACCAAGAACCATTTAAAGGGCCCATAAAATGGAAAAGCAAATCTTCATTTTTTTAAATGAAAAGTTGATGTAGTATGTAGACATTCTTACAACATAGTTAAAACTTGTATCAAACATATACTGTATGTAAAACTAAGCTACAGCAATAGCCTGCTTTGAATCCACTGTTACTTGTGATGTCACAAAAAACAGCACATTTACATATATCTGCCTACTCAGCCTAGGTTAGCCTGGCAGGTTAGCCCCGCCCATTCATGCTGAGGTTATAAGGAGTGTTTCAGCTCAGACTGCTTTTTTAATGGGGAATGAGGTAGCCAATCAGAACAAAGCTTATTTATATATATCAGTCTTAAAGACACAGTAACAAACAAACTGTTTGTTTGGAAATTGGTTTTGGTACATAAGCCCACCTAAATGTTACTAATGGAGCTCAGGGAAAAATATACAATGCAAGAAAAATGCAGATAATGGGTCTTTTAATAACTTTTATTTTTAAGAGTGTATAAAAGATTCTGCACTTTCTTCATATCTACTCTTGTATTATGTTTGGTTTGTCTCAACTGTGTTTGACCTCACTGTGTAATGGTTTTGCTGTGTGTGTATCTAGGTGTCTCCATGTGAGAAGTGTCGGTGTGAGCCCAGTGGGGAGGTTTTGTGTTCTGTCTCGGCTTGCCCACAGACAGAGTGTGTGGATCCAGAGTATGAGCCTGACCAATGCTGCCCAGTGTGCAAGAGCGGTGAGTCACATCTCTCCTTCTGTCTCTTTCTGTATCTCTCTCATCCTCTCTCTCTCTTTATCTCTCTCATGCTTTCCTTTCTTTGGACACACTCTTAGATGGTTTGTAATGGTTCTTGTCTTGGTTGTTTGGTTCTAAGAGGAACCTTTGGTTGATATAGAACCTACAGTCTCTACCCCCTTACACAGGTGGAATGGAAATCGGCTGAGATATTTGTAATTAGTGTAATCAAATAAAATATTTTCCCAGTAACACTGTTATCAGGTTAACCTTTATAAATGTTGACTTGCTTGCTCACGTACAAACATGAAAATCCAGTTTTCTTCATAAATTATACGTGTTTACATCGAAACATATTCCATCAACATTATTAAAAAAATGGAAAAGTGCAAAAACTAAAGGACTTCAAAACAAGCAAAAACTGCATTTTACAGCTACCTTTAAAAAACATTTACAAAAGTGTTTCTTTACAGATCTAACCATTGAAAAGAACCAAACATGGTGCATTTTCCTTGGTGTCTTTAGCCCCCCATCTCTGTTTCTGTCTATATTTCCCTTTTTTTCTTCCTCAAACCCCCCCGAGCCACCCCTCCATCCTATAAGTAAACTGAAAATCAGTTCTCAGAAATGACTGCAGTGACTTGCCTGCAGTATGTTCAATTACCATCCCCTTCCAGTTCTCCAGAAAGTCAGCATGATAGAAGTGTATCTCTGCGCCACGTGTTGGCTTTGCATGTGCTTCCAACTTATTGGCCCGCTGACAGCCTGAAATGTCAGATTAAATTTGTTTGCCATAAGAGGTAATGATTTTCCATCAATAAAATATTTTTAGTGAGCTATCATAATGTCATCATGGAATTGCTAGGACCACACTCAATTAGTCCGCTAGGTCATTTTCTAGTGGGGATTAGCGAAGCAGGCAGGCTGGCTGTCGGCATTTAAGGCCATTTAATGTTGAATACTTCTTTTATACATTTATATATTTATATAATGGAGTTCTGCATGTGAAAAATGGGACTGGAGTGATTATCACTTAAGTGATATTACTTTCACTGTAAATGCAAATTCAAATGGAAATAGAAATGGTAAAATCAGCTGATGTACATACACTACTGCACAAATTGCCTGAAGCACTGTTTGCAGGCATTTCATCCTGTGATGTGAGATACATGGCTGGTAATTTCATGTCAGTGTGAAACCACATCTTCTTTAAGAGCTACGGTCAGATTTCAGCGGGGAGCCAGGTTTGAATTCAAATTATCTTGGTAAAATGATTTATTAATTTATATGTTTATGTTTTTACTCATTTTTAAGAGAAGCAGTTCTGTTAAACAGGTATTCACATCTGTATGGCTTAACATGCATACATAAGCTACTAGCCCATGATTAGTTATACACAATGTGCAGTGTTTTCCAGATGTATAGTTGATAGAAGGCTAGATCATGTCAAACGGTCTATTTTCTGCTTAGTGACTTCTCATGGGTTTCTTTTTCAACATCTATCGCCTTGTATTTTTGAATTAAATTGGTATGACCTCTGAGCTTCAGTTCTGCCTGTTTTGTATTTGATCTTCCATCCACGTTAAGGTCTGGGTCAAGGTTTGAAAGCAAGGAGTGCAGTAACAAAATCTTAATATCTCTGCTGAAAGCACCTCATTCAGAGTGAGTCACTCTTGCCACTGGAACTTGGAATTTTTTTCCATCACCTGTAACCTGCCACTGTGCTGGAGAATGCGGTGGATGTGTTGTAAACTGTCGTTTGGCCGCGTGGCAATGAATAACTCAAATAAGGCCGATATCTGCAGATGCATTAAGCTTCATATTCACCTGATACAGTTTTCCATTAGCCACGTCGACAGGATGGAGACATTATTCAGCCAGCACTTGCACTAATGAACCGGCAAAGTTTCTCTGCCTGATTTGTGGAGGTGAGATGAGGTGATTAACACAAGCAGGTGTTTCAGTGCCGGCTTTCACCAAGCCCAAGGGCACTGATGATTAAACATTTCCACAAAAAAACAATGTTCTCACTTCATTTGCCTGCAAAAACAGTAGAGTGGGCTGCTGAAAAGCTCTCGATCAGCTAACTGCTCTGAATAGAGGGATGGTGTGTGATGAGTGCAAATGAAAAATTCTTCTTCACACCTTTTTTTTCTGCTGAAACCACTAATGAAATGTGCTGTAAAGCAGAAAAAGCCTAGACCTTGGGTCTGTGTGTATGGGTTGCATGATTGGAACACATTATAGCGTCTTGGGAAAAGTTTGCTAGATCAGGGTGGATTATAGAGAGCCGCCTGAGATCATTTCAGACAGCACGTCCTAGACTATGGCTCCTTGTGCTTCTTCACTGATCTTAATCTAACATGGCACCGTCAGCTACGTTGCCTCCTTCAGCAAAAAGGAACGATGACTCGGGATATGGATCTCAGACTTGGCAGCTAAAGTTCCTCATTGTGTTGACAATAACAGAAGAGAGGCAATTACTTCCAAAAAGAAAAAGATTTCTAAATGAATTATAGAGACGTTTTTTGTTGGCAGGGCTGTCTGTGATGATCAGACTGAACAGCTTAATGTGTGAAACCTTATAGAGAACCCACGGAAAAGGATGAAGACGGTGCCAACAGAGCAAGGGTGGCATTAAGACTAAAGCATGTGGGTGTGATCTGGGAATGCATAACAAATGCATGTGTGCACTCAAGCAGTCAGGCTTTCTGCTTTTTAAGATGGATTGGAGCCATTTGTGCTCAAGAGATTACAATCGCTGGTGTTTTACCATATTCCACAATGCGGCTTGATTCCAGAGCCCAAGTGGTTCGTGTGTTTGCCAGGTGGTGCTTGAGTCTGATTGTGTTGGTAAATTACAGTTTGTCTGTTTGCATTGAGCTTCCTGTAATTTTCACAATTTTTTTTTTTCATGGTGCGACTTTAGCGTCTTGTTTTTGTTTCCTTGTTCGTAGAGTGTGTTGTGAGGTGGTTATGAATAGCGAGGGTGAGCGAGGTAAGTGCGGTGGCACCTCTGCGGCTCTTGCTGCAGGTGTCTGAGGTACAAAGGCTCCGGCGCAGATGCGGTGGGAGAGGCAGGCAGATGCTCGGACCCCCTGAGATTTGCACTCATCAGAAGTAAGACTTCAAAGCCTTTGCTCAGTGACACCACAGGATGGGTGCCGGGTAAGCCAGCTCTAACATAGTCTGTGCTACTGATAATGATCACCTGGGCTCAAACTGTTTGCCACCCTAACTTTAATGTGTTTAAATAATGCTAGTTGAAATTTTTGAATGATACGGTTCTCAGACAAGGCAGAGAGAGCAAATGATTGTTTAATTGGAACCATTAAGTGTCCATTATCAGTTGATTGACTGGGTCGTTTTTTTTCTTTCGGGTGCATGAAAGAGAGACCTCGGCCCGGCGCTTTTAGAAAAATGTGATGTCTCCTCAATGAAATGATAATAGCCGTTGAAGAAAAGAAGAAATTGGAGGTGTCATCTTCATTTTGGATTGTAGACTTGACGCAAAAATGGGAAGGCACTGTGGAGAATCAATGTATAAATAGGATGCTAGCGGTTCTCTCATAATCATAATCATACACTCAGTCGATGCTGAGCACACTGTGCCCAGTGGGAGCTGCAGTCTGCCTGACTTATCTCAGGTCTCGCAGAAAGCCTGCGACTCAAAGGAGCCACGTATCTATAATTTGTCCAAAGTCATTAGGCCATTTTATCTATTTCTGCGGATTCACCCGTGGCCAGTGCAGACTAATCTAGAAAAAATAGAGTTAGGCTTTCTTAAACACAGTTCATTTCTGCTGAAACCCTTCATCACGGCAGTGCACATTTCATCCTATTAGCCTAAATGCCATTAATTTTAAGTGGGTGTTAGGGACACGAAAAGCACAAAGATTTCTCAAAGCAGTCTGGGGGATTGATGTCTCCATTTGTTGCAGATGAAGAGGCGAGGTTTAGGCCCTTTTCAGGGCCGCTGAATGGAGCATTATGTTCCTGCTCCGTGCACTGCCTGGGATCTGTTGTTGGAGCGGTATGCCGGGAGACACTTGAGGAAGTGCCATGGGGGGGAGATGAAAGTGAGTGCTATTGCTAACATCCACCACAGGCAGTTGTTCATGAATATCAAAGAACATCTGCGAGCGGCAGCGTCTTTGGGAATCGAAACGAAGGGGAAAAACACACTCGCATTCGTTTCTAACGTACAGGCCATGCTTTCAGTCAGTCAGAGGCTGTCAATAAATAAGAGACATGTCAACATTTTTTTTCTCCCCCTCCGTTTTGCTTATTTATGCCGCAACAGCACCAGAAATGTCATGCAGTGTTTGAAAAAATAAATTTGGGATTTTCAGCAGCAAGGTGTACTGTCATGTCAAACATACAGCAAGTTTGCACAGGCACAAATAGGATTATTTCAAATCGGCTGCCACCACACTTCTCGCCCCAGCGGCCACACAGGCAGAACATGCCTTTATCCTGTAGCATAACTGGGGCTCGCAGCATGGAGCGTCAGGAGCTTTTTAAGAGCAAAGACTCGCTGCTTATTTCCCCGCTGTGCTCTCTGTCTTGGCGACCCTGCCTCGTGCAGGCCATCACCTTGGCAACACATGGAAAAAAACAGGCGCTCTTCTTGAAGGGCTTAGACACTGGGGTCGCCACTAATCTTAGGAGGTTGCAGTAAACTGTCTGAACGAGAGCCGAAAGCACTTCAAACTGTGGAATGGCGGCCGGAGTCTGCGCAGTGCTGGGGGGGAATGGGTACTCCACGCGTTTCCAAATGGGGAAAATGATCGGGGGAAATATTCATGGCAGCTTGAGGGGGACTATTCATGGTTTACTTTAAGAGCTCAATTTAAGCGTCTTAAATGCTGTTCCCCACAACACTAGAGGAGGAGTATATCCATAAGGACTCATTGCATTTATGGTTTCAGCCTTTTGTAATGGGGCATTGTGCTCTCTGATTCTGAAGAGGAGATAATGGTTATCAGTGGTGCATATGC